TCTCTAATGCTAGGACTTAAGATCGAAAAAATTTCTCCAGTAACATTTTAATCTATAGATTCATTTAAAAAATTAGGCGTGAAGAAAGGATGTAGATTATTTCCTACTTTTAATTCTACATGACTACGTATCTTATTAGTATTAATTTAATTATTTCCTAATTTTAATTCCATATAACTACCTATGTTAAAAAAAAAAAAATTTCAAAGTCGTGTCAAAAAATACTATGTGCTGATTGATTTTGCGATGCTGCTCCTGACTTTAACAAATTTTGAAAGTTTTACAGTCTTTTAAAGTCCAGGATCATGACTCTGTACCTTTGTCGGGCATTGTGGTACAGTAGAGATTTTTCGGGCTACAATGCCCGCACGTTCGCGTGATTGTTCAGACTGTTTTGTTGTAAATTTTTTTCAGGTTAATTTGTCAATTCCCTCCTAAGTGATAATAATATTAATGCAGTTTATACCCTAGGGCATGAATATGTTTTGGGCCCCCTCGACTCGGGTTGAAATGAATTGTAGTCTGTGCCCGCAAACAAAAACTCTATTTTTCAAATAGGTTGTTCTTCGCACCTCTATCACATTCCCGCTTCTCATACGTAAAGAGCACATTAACAATGATGCGCTGGGTTTTTGAAAGAAAGAAGTCGAACATAAACATTTCCACCCAACGCCTTTAATTCAAAAGTTAAATTTTCTTCTTGTAATACTTATGGAAAAGTTTGGATGATGGGCATTATTTCCTAACTTGATTATAAGCTAACCAGAAAATATTGGCTAAATCAACCAATAACGGAAATTTAATCAAGACAGTGGAACGGTAAGATTCACCTAATTTCCTAGTCATGTTAATTTATGGCTAAATTTAGAAATATCTAATGACCTTCTCAGTTTTATTGTCTAGGAAATGACCTCGAAAAACAAAAAAAAATCTTCTTATAATAACTAAGCCGGAATAACTTGCTATTTTTTTATCGCTTCTGGTTTGCAGAATCAAGCATAGTTGGAGGGAAATAAGGGTAAAACCGCACTCGGATCTGTTATGTTGTGTCTTGGATTAGAGATTAAATTAAGAACTCTTTAATCTGGTGCTAAGATTATTTTCGCAGATTACAGCGAGCTTTGGTATTGTGTGTGAATTCCAGAGTCTGATAAATTTCCATTTCTTCACGTACTGTGCCTGGTCTGCACATCACGAAAATGATTTGAAATACCACAAAAACATTCTTATTTTTTTTCTGCAAGGCTTTTGTAAAAAGCACAGATTTTTGCGTTCGAAATCTAGGATCAGTAAAACCGACACCTGCCGTACCGTAGAATCATTAAAAATCTGTTCCGGTTCTTTAACTGTTAAAATCTCTCCACACGAGAGAAGCTATGGGAATATTGGCAAATTTTTTTGTATTCAAACTGATCAAGTTCCTCATTCTCCTGGCAAGCGCAGTTTGATTTGTTCCAACATATTAACAAGACGTTAGACAAAGATCACAGTACTTGAGCCTCTGGACATACTCACTGATTAAACTAGAGAACAGATGTATTCAACATAAAATCTCTGCGCCAAAACAATATTACAATTATTTTCAAGCGAGGGTAGTTCAACTAGCACCAAACGACCATAACTCGACGTTTGCTAATCATTTTATATCCTTCAAGGGTGCCATTAGTTAAACTAATACTTAAATATCCTTCGCTCTATTTCCACCAGCGCGTGCAATTGTTTACGTAAAGCTTTGCGTCAACTATGGATACCGAGTGGGACTGAGGAGATACGAAATATTTTCCTCGCTGTCTCTCCATAGGGCATGAAAGTGCATGGATTACGCGAATCACACGCGAGAACTCACGCTCTGCGTTAAGAAAGGTTAGTTTCAGACTACAAGTGAAATGCAAAGAGAAAGAAACAATAAAAGAAAATAAACATAAAAGATCGAATGACTCAGAACAACAAAACAAGGCGGTGCTTCATCCTCTGCATTTTAAAGTCCGTCGCTCGGGCAAAAGGAAATCGGGGAAAAAAAATTAGGCGTCTGGCGAACACGCGAAGCACCTATCCCTACCGCTTGCAGTCACGACAATGACGCCGTGGAAAACGTCGATTATAAAATGAACCTTCATTTATAATAAGAAATAAACGGCCTTTAACGGCACCTCTCTAGACCAATTCCTTCAGCATAACATGAGCATGAGATCATGTGACGGCAGCTTTGAGTTCGTAAAAGAGAAACATTGGTAATATATCGTCGGTTTCCGATATCAGAATACGAAGAATTTAGCGACTTTACCTCTTCGTTTTGGAGATAACGGCTAGGACATGTGCAAGGTTTCAAACACATGTGCAAAGAGACAGATCTACTTATAAACCCTTTGTTGCCGTGGTAGCATCGTGATTTGCTCGGCGTTCTCAGTCAACGCCGACTTTCTTTTCGCTAATGAATTTCACTCGCGCTGTGGAGTAAGTTCGGAACCAGGCCTGATTCGGAACGAAGGACCGTTTGTAACATAGAATTCATAAGGTGTGTTTACACTTCAGTTATTTTTCATAGTAAATATCAAGAGAGCTAAGTGCAAAGTTCCATTTTAAAAGTCTTAAATCTTCAAGTCATTCCCAGCAGAGTACATGTCTGTAGCTATCGGATGTTAGCTAGACTCAGTACGAGTACAACAGCCTCTATATGGATATCGACCACAATTAAAATCTCAAGTAAAATATTTAAAACCTGTTGCACATCGAAAAGAACAGCACAGTTTAACGAACACATTGAAAAGCTGTTAACCACCTCTGCTCAAATCTAACCTGGTAACCGAATAGGTTTGCTGAACGTGAAATCATTCAGATTTCAATGCGTTTCTCTTTCTCAAGCGCTCTTTAACGTTGCATTTAAAACATTTGTGAAGGTAACAGAGTAAAAAGGAAAAGAAGACCTTGTTTCAAGCAACGCTAATACAACTTGAACATGTGCTCTCAATCAGAACTCCATGAGCAGTTTCCATACCAGGCGTTTCAACATTTTGATTGGTACAACTCGCACACATCTGCAGAACTCGTTCAAAAGTAATTACAAGAAACAGAAACTGCATCAATCGATCATGTACCGGACACGAATGGACTTGAATCTAATCCAAACAGTGAAACAATTAACGCGCAAATCCTTCATGAATGTTTCTATCAAGTTCACTCATTTACATTCGCACTCAAGAGATTGAATTTCAGCCGTCAGAACCTGAAATTATCATTATGTTCTTTCGCAATTTACAACAAATAGTATTTTCCGTATTCTTCACACAAAAGAATAAAAAGAGATTGTATTGATAATAAAACAACTGCCAGGTAAAAGAACAAACAAAAAGAAAACGGAATCTCTTGCAAACAGTGATACCACTTCATGTTGTTGTTTCTTCCGTCTGAAGTGGGAAGTCGATGTTTCTCCCCTTGAACTCGAAAGTGTTATCTTTCCGAATAATTAAACAAAAATTGAGACCAAACAGTGACATATTTTTTCCAGTTGAGCTTAATCTACGTTACAAAAACATCCATTGTTTTTTAGAGAAAGAAGACGGACGATTGTTATGGTGCTTATTTGGGCCGTTCTACATCAAGTACCGACATTAGATTTTCTAAAATGAAAAATGTATTTTCCAATTTCAAAATTCTATTATAAGAAAACGCAAACAACAAATTACATTTAAAAGTTAATCTGGCTAAGCTGTTATCGAGATTTGAGAAGCGCGGCTTCATATGTAAAGCTGATCGCTTTACATTCACACGAGGGGTTAAGTCAAAGTCCTTCGTCTTAAGAATTTGTACTTAAAGTTAAATAAAAATAAACACACGTGAGAACAAGCTGGGGCGCATTGAATTAGTTGCAATTTCCTGCTTATTGAGTTAAAAGAGATTGAAGTAACCCATAGTACAAATAAAAAGACGCTTTTATGAAAGCATGAACTAGTCAGGAACAAGAGATTATAACTTTTTGTCAGGAACCAAATGTTTTAGTGAATTACTTTGGGGTTTGCGTGATATTGCCTTAAGACAGATCGACAATCATATTAGACCTGCTGTGCAGGACACCTTTCGTCACTCGAAGAATACTCACGAGTCCATCAAACGACAGAAAAAGGAATGTGTGAGAGAGAAAGAGAGAGAAAAAATACCTTGCAGGTCATTGAAAGCTTCATAATTGCAGATATTGCAAATTTTCGGATCAAAACTAGCCTAAAAAAGGATCAAGTTTAGATTCTTTCAATCTGGCTAGCCTAAAATTTGCTTTAAAGTGAATACAAGTTTGAAATTGTATTAGAGACACAGTTCAAGTGCGCTAAAGGGGGTATAAAGATGTAAATTATAGTAAGTCTATCACTAGATCTCTCTACTTTACTTAATTTAAACACTCAATGAATTAATTTAAGGCTTAGACCAGATAACTCCAACTGAGTCTAAGATCTGCTGAAACGCTGCCGAGGAAGTTCCAACATGGAAGACAACACCAATTAATAGAACTCTGATAATGAAAAACTTTTTGTTCGGAGCAATTTTGAACTACTTGTAGAAAATAATCCGGATCTGTAGAGCTTTGGCTTTCCACGGTCGGTGATTGGTTTGGAAAATTCGCGCCAACCACCAATCAGATGTGAGACCAAAACCAATCGCGGCTTTGTAGCCCGCGTTTTCCCGCGCTTCACTCCCGTTACGGGGAGTTTTCGTTGAATTTTGATTTTGATTTGTTCTAACAGGATGTGATGCCTACTGCGGTTTCATTATACGACCCTCAATTGAAAAGCGCGTACAACTAAGTCAAAGGAGTAAATTCAAGAGCATGGTTACTCAGTGGCTGGAATTTTGACTAATCTGGTTCGAAGCCGCCGTTTTGGCTCGTCACGCAATGCGCACGGGCAACACATCACGTTACAAGCGATAAAACGGTTGCGATGGACACTACCTCCCTTCCCTCCCCCCTTCATAAAATCAATGAGTTCTATCACTATCAACTTATACAAAAACTCACTTGGCTGTTCTTCTCCGACAACGCTGATTTTTTCTTTACTCAGCTGAGAGGTAAAAAAAAAGTTATATTAGTTAATTCTGTTACTTCACCATACATATACCTCTGGACAAATATCTTCCTCTTAAGACTGAGCACGAGTAAGGGACAATCAGAACGGGACCTAAAGTTGCAGTCGATATAAAAACCCCTCCCACTCCACCTCCTCCATCCTACGGAAAAGAGACCCCGTGTGACATTCTTTCGTCTTCATGATAATACAAAATCTAAAAAAAAGAATCTTCACTGTCCCAATGAAATAGAGGCCCAAGTGGAACGAAAGTTATTTTCAGCCCAAGAATTATGAAATGGATGGACATGAAACCCGGCGAAATGAGCCCCTCTTCAACGCAGATTCGGTTCGGGCAAAAGATACTCCTCCGACACTGAGCTCTACAAAAGCAAAATGCTTTAAAAAGAAATCCTATTTGAAAAAACCCTTGGCCAGGTGAGGAGCAGTTAGCTCCAGGTAACCATGGATACTCCTGGATGAAGAGGGGCTCTATGATAGTAAAGTACTTTGCTCCGAAACATACTCCTACATGGAAAAGACCCCTATAACACAACACAATGACCATTGCTGAGGCGTCAATCGTAGTAGCTCACCTTAAGGTAAAGCTTGATTTCTTCAGCTCGTTTCATATACTTTTCCACCTACAGGAGCATTCAGAAAGACAAAAAAAGGTTTGAGGGGGAGAAGTTTTCAGCTGTGTGCCGACAGTGTCGCGGGTCGCATTAGTTTTGCTTTACTTCTCTCCGTTATTGGTTTGGAAAACTCGCGCGTCTCTCTAGACCACACAAATTCAAAACTGAAATAAACCGCGAAGATAATATTCCGATTCCCCGCGCGTAAGCAGATTGCTGCTTCTATCTTAATTTATCATAGGCTCCTTCGCCTTGTGGTATCTTCTTCGATTACGATTGGCCGTTGTGGCTATTTTGGTTTTAGTTGTAGGGCACTCAATCGATAGCGTTCAAGGAAAGATATCTAGTTGAGCTTTTAGTTACGACATAACTTGCCTCTAAATGCACTGCTTCCTTGTACGATCCACGAGGTGTACCTAGAATATGACAGAGACGAAAAACGACCAAGTCTTCATTTACTTGCACACATCAATTCGATGCTCGCTTAAGTGATGAACATTTTTTTAAGACTCAGATTGAAAATAAAATCAATAAAAACAGCTTGTTTATGGATCCTTTTAAAGAGAAGCCATTTGAGATGTTTCTGTACATTCAATTCGTCTAATCGCTTTCGGTTGTTCAACACCGACATGAAATTTATCATTAACGACATTTAATTCAGGATAGTGTAGTACAATCCTTTTATATTCAAAGAGTGACCGGCATCTAACTTCCCCTGACAATATCATCCCTGAATCACACATTAAGGTCACGAGAATAAAGGAAATGATCACCAACAAAAGTTCCTGATTTTAAAACGAATTCTCCTCGTCAGTATTTAATGAAATGTATGGAGAGCAGTATGGAGAATAAGCATACTGATGTTAGGGTGTAAAGGGTTAATCGAGAACACGTAGTAATGCTGTTAATCGGCTCCAACCTGATAATATAGGTAAAAGTGCCTCCAATGCCAGCTGATACTGTTCCAGTGCACTGTCATAAGCTCCATGCTCATCCTGAAACAACAGGGCTTAGTATAAGGGACCGCTCATTTTCCATCGCAGGGGGGGGGGTGTTTGGGTTAACGGGGGGTCGGAGGATTTTGGTTGTTTCACGATAAGAATAAATTCATCCCCCTCTAAGGCTCTGTAGTATTCTATGATCCCCCTTCGTCTACAGTCAATTTTCTGTAGTACCCCTTTTATACTCTGTCAGCGACGACTGACCCCTTCTCCGTTCCCCATTTTGCGATTCCAGAGAAGATATTATAAAGTGGTAATCGAACTTCTTGTAGTGCAATTTTCATCTGAAATCATACTTGTGATTACAAATCAAACTCGCGCTGCGCGCTCGTTCAATTTTGAAATCAAGCGTTTGAGTTCAGACCAAATTGTACTCAGGTCAATGACAATTATTTACTCCTGCAACGATTACAACAATTTCAGGCGCAAATCCCGCACGCTTTGCTCATTGGATATGAGATGGTGAATAATCAAAGAGTCGCGTAGCGCCGAGTTAGCTATAACCAATCTCGTATTCAATAAGTGCGAACGGAATAATTTTTTAATTAAATCTCATCAAATCCTGAATTTTTGGCTATTTGAAGCTTTTTTCGGCTCTGCAACAGTTGGCGTAATGCATTTTCATATAGTGTGACTTGGAATATGAGCTGATAACCGGAGTTGAGTGAACCAATCATAACACTAGAATTGTGATATTTAGGGGTTGAAAATTTAATGAAAAAGGATATTCAGAGTTTGATTAACCAATCTGAGCGCACTTTCAACGCTATCCTCTGTTTAAGTATTAATCAAATACATTTATCTTTCAGTTCTATCCTTCGTTCTTGACATTTCCGTCTCTCAAATATTCCGTTTGATCACAGTAGCAAACTTTCGCTACCCTCATAAATACCAAGACTCGCTCATTTACGTTTTTTCGCGCTTCAGGCAGTTTGCCGGAAGGCCTTAATAATTCCTTTTAGTAGCGGTTCTAAGGCACCCAACCGAAATTTGCTTTAATGTACTTTTGCTATTCAGTGGTTTGTAATTCAACTTTAATACAAAGAGAATGCTTTTCGATCGAGTGTCGAATCACAACCGCCAATCAGAAGAGAAGAAAATAACTGCCTGGAGCGCGGGAAAACACGGGGCGACCAAGTCATGATTGGTTTTAGTTTTGTATCTGATTGGTTGAGAGAGAAGCGCGAATTTTCTAGAACAATTACAAAGCACATTGTAATCCCAGATTACCTGCGACGATCAATTGAACATTGCTCCAAACTAATCAGAGTTTATGATCGGCCAGATACAGTTGAACCCTGATCAGCTCTCTGAAAAACTTGGCGCTCTGATTTCCTTTCTTCGTTACTTCTCTCATTCATCACATAAAATAAAGGATTCACCGCCTTAAAAAGTAGTAACTTACTCTTATTTCCGCGATATTTGCAAGGTGAAGGGCTTCTTTCAACTCAGGGTGTTCACTGCTGTAACGCGCTAGTAGCTCATCAGGGCTACTATGTGCTTTTGTCTTAAAACACTGTTTCAGTTCTTCTGCTCGGTTCATGTACTGATTCACCTTAAAATTAATTTTATGATTTTAATTTTCATGAAATATTGCAATCTTACAAAAAGTTCAACGTTTCCGTGTAAAATTTTCATAAGTGCAACTACATTTAATCATTTCATTCCCAAAAGTGATTTAAATGAAATTTCTCCTAACAATACAAACACATTGTCTTGCGAACAGGTGGGGAGAATAGACACACTCATCGACTTCATGCAGGTATCAGCTAGTGATAAAACACTAGATTCTCAATACTAAACATATGAATTAAGAAGTAAGAGTGGAGAATTGAAAGTAATAAGTGTATCACCACCGTATAGAGCTTGGGTATCAATCAAGATTTATTCTTACTTGTTCCAGGCTCTCAGTCAATGCAGACGAACACTAAATATGGTGGAATATGAGATGGCTTAAAGAAACATTTCACAGCCTTCTCTCTGAATATCACAACCGCCACGCCTGCTTGCTCACAATTTATTTTTCGCTCTATCACTCGCTCATCTTTACTGACTGAGAGCCTGTCGTAAGCCAGACTTATACTCTGGTTGTCAAGGCTTCTTGATTTCATTTTATTTGTTTTATAAGGATAAATTTTAGAACAGGACTTCCTGACCAAAATGAACTGACCGATCACTGCTTTACAAATCAAGCAAGGAAAAAAATGCAAATTTAATCAAACCAGGGAGACTTATCATTTTGACACATGATTTTGTGCTTCAATCAAACTTGTAAAATGATCAGTACCGTGGAAGGAGATTCAAAAGCAATTGCCAGAAGCTACTGCTTAGAATTGATATTACAACAAAGAAGGACTTACCCTCTCTCGCAATCTTGTTTTCATCTCTGGGTCCTTTTCATCTAAAAGGAGAGTGGAATTATCAATTTTTTGTTACAACAGCTACATGAACCCCAAACCACTTTTGATTGAGTGTCAATGAAAAGCCAAACCAATAATTGAGCAATCACAACAGCCAGCCACAACAAAATTGAACATCACAAGGAACAAATGGTAACTGCCAAATGAAAAAATTATATACAAATGTATAAAACTGACCTTCAGTGCAGGAAAGTGTTGGTGACAAAATTTACCATAACTAACTCCTACTACACCGCTCTTACACAACACAACAAACAAACAAGACAATGAATCGGTTTGGGTATCTTTAACTAGCAGCCTCTGAGTGCTCAAGGAAAGTGCTCAGTGTGAGAGGGAGGGTTAGAAATGACTAGAACAACCACATCCACAAAATGAAGTGATCATATGACAACCAAATGTCAGTTAACTGCTAGCCAGGCACAGCATGGAGGCCTGGAGCTAATTAAGTTATTGCCCTAAGAATACGAAACTCTTAGCCATAGTTTGCCATCCGATTGGGAAAAGGGGGATCCTGAGTATTCAAAAACAATCGCAGAGTGCAGGGAAGCAAAACAAGTGGATAGCAACTGATAGACATACACTCAATGGCTGGTAAAAAAAAAGCCATAGCTTCACAGTAGAGTTTTGCAGCTCCTTTTAAATCACCAGCATCATCCATTTTAATGGCCTCAGTCACAAGTTTAACCTGCAAAGAGCATATAGACATACATTGTAAGATCAAATAGGTAGTTGCATGTATATTTAGCTTAAATGGAAGATTCAAAATATAGAGTAATCCTGCCGATGAAAATAAAATTAATATTTTTTTTGGTCCTGAGAGGTACTTTCATGGAGCATGGAGGTGTCATTGTACTATCCACTGGTATTAGCCAAACTTTTGGTTTCACTAATTGAGACTTTTTTAAAGAATTCCAAGTCAGGTTATGGGCTTGAAGGGCCATATTACTGAAGCATTTCCAGCTCTATGTGGCATGAAGCAATTGAGAGTAATGCCACTCCCCCCATGACGGAGTTGTTGGTGCATCCCAGGGTTGTAACTCCTTTTGCATTTTGTAGGTTTCTAGGACAGTTTGTTGGTAACCATTATTGCTCCTGGTTGAAACTTGTGGTATGACAAAAGAGTTTCTTACATAAGAACAAAACACAATGACCAGCCCAGCCATGCTCAATCCTGATCCTTTCAATCAGGAATCCATTACACTGACCATGAGGTCACAATAGCTCCCTTTCTTTCCCAGAACAGATTAACATGTAACTTCTCCCAATAATATCCATACACAATCCAGCATTGATGTCATGAGAATACTCAAAATTATCACTCAAAGAGATAGTATTTGTTTTCTTGATTTAACTCCAAATTCAGGTGACTAATTTAAAAGAAATGTTTAGCAGCTTGAGGAAAGAATTAACAATCAGATCTTGGGATTTGAAGGATTAAAAGAAATTGATGAGTATTATAACACTTACAGCCCTCCCTAAGCAGGATGGTGATGGGACATGTTCTAAATCAAGAAAAGGATGTGCAAAGAAATCCTCAAAGGAGATTCTGTCCATGGGATCTCTCTGTAGCAAGGCCAACATGAGATCCTGACAATCTTGTGACACTTTGGTCCCAACAGGGAGCTTAAAAGTATAAACCAATTAAATGATTGATGATGTAAACTTTCTAGCAACAATGAAAATCCAACTTGGCATTAAAAGATATTAAAAAAAAAGTTTGCCACTGATGATCTCACTTCAAATAAATGGCAACAGCTTAAACCAAACAATTAGACGTGACCTTTACCTTGTCAGGAAATGGCACAACTGTGCACAGTTACATAAAATTAGAAAAACAGCTTTTTAATATATATTTCTCTGGATAAAGTAGTGATTTAGGAGAAAGCTGGGGTAAAATCAAGTTAATTTTAGACATTTGCCTTAAGTAGAAACTGTTCATGCTTTACATCCTGTAATCACCAAGTTTCAATTGAGGTAAAACTTTTGTTAACTATGTCCATTTAACAAACTAAGTTAATTGCCACAAGCTCAGGAGATTCTCTCGGGCAATCATCAACCTAATTAAGTTCATGTTCACATGAAACATTGCAATGATGTTACAGTTCAATCTTTCAGCTCAAAACCACTTTCGTAGCAAGTGTTTTATAGAGGCACCACGGGGATTCTCTGCAGTTGATTTTCAACATTTATGATAACCTCTTCCTTCTACTGATCCAGTCAGTGTTGACCAGTACCTGGAATGGAAGCTTTTGGCTGAATTGTGGGGATCTATAAAGTACTAGGGTTACGGTGGTATTTTATCTTGAGGCTGGCTAAACACAGTGGGAACTTTTTGATAACCCAGGAAGAATGTAAAGTGCAGAAGAAACAATGAGAATAAAAGATATATGAAATTGTGTAACAATGAAGTCTTTATAGCAGTTTTGTGATCACTACTGGTGTTATCCTTACCTCTATAGGAGCTGAAGATCGAATCTTCGTTTCAAGTTCTGCAAAAGACCCAGAGGCAAAGGGTGCCACACCAAACAGTGCCTCTTAAAAAGAGTGAAAAAAAAGAGACATTCATTATTTAAAATAAATATAAAATACCCAATTTTTAATGTTGGTCTACATGTCATGCATTCACTTTTTAATATGTTGTTACGATGCATCGTCAGACAAATGAAAAACTTAGCTTTTATGTTGTTACATATTATTTTTTTACCTATAATAGTGTCACTACCTTATTCCAAAATTGCTTTCTGTCAGTCAGACATTTTACTTAATAGATACAGTTAGTATGCTGAATACTGCCATTAGGAATGTGATTATTCAGTTCCATTTAAGAAAATGTTGTCCCCTGAAAGTACCAGGTATTGATTGAAAAATAATTCCAGATAAAATGGAAATTAGCTATTATAAATGCTATTTACTTGCTAGTTGCTCAAATAAACCAAAAAATGTCCAGTGTATGAATCAATATAAACACAATCTCTGAAAGAACCCACATGACTATTAATTAACAAAATGTTACTTGTTAAACAGTCAGACTAATTTTTAAATTATTGGTGTAATTGGCTTACAGGAGATGAAAGCAACCAAAACAACAAACAAACAATAACAAAACTGAGAAGGAGCAGTCTGTCCAACAGTGACTCACCATAGAGGATAACACCCACAGACCACAAATCTACCCTGGCATCATATTTTAATGAACAGATCATCTCTGGCGCCTGGCAAAAAAAAAAAGTACGTATTAATATTAATCATATTAGCTATGAATTCAACCTAATACAAAATAAAAGTGGCCCTAAAACAGATCCTTGTGGAACTCACACATTGTTTCTGGTTTGGTAGTGCTAGCCAATTGATTTTAACAAAATGTACAATCATGTAATGTCAACAAACCTTAAATTCTAAAATCCTTGAACATTCCTTCAACCCTTTAACTCCCATGAGTGACCAAGACAGAAGTTCTCTTTACAATATCAATACAATATTTAGCAGACAAGTGATGAGAAAAAAAAATTAATTAAGGGATTCTTAGTTCATCCAATACCAAATTCTCAAAACAAACATCACAAGAACTATGTGGCAGAAGATAAGGAGAATTTATTAATGAGATCTTGGGAGTTAAAGGGTTAAATTTAAGTTTCATAACGAGTTCCATACTTTCCACATTGTATTTATTTCTCCATTTATCTATTTACAAAAACCAAGGCCATTAATTTTTTTGTTAGGCTAGCTCTACTTGGATGACTAATCTTTGCTACAATATCAAATAAAAATGTTATGATAAGAATTTCAGTTGTAATACACCAAAGAATATTTCTTAACAAGCCTCATCGGCCAAAATACAGTACCATGTACAGAGGAGATCCTCTCAGTGTCTTTGTCTCCTCTCCACTATGTAAATACTGTGCAAAACCAAAATCTGTGTAAAAAGTAAGTATGTAGGATGGTGAACAAAACAGAATAAGTAAGTTCATCTAACATGGCCTGCCCTGGGTTATAACTTACAACAAGCAAAGAACCTGCATGAAAAACAAACTAAATTTTCAAATCAAAATTGATCTTGACAGGAATAACCAATATGTGATATTCAAGACAAAAATTGAAGTTGGGGTCTATTTTAAAGGAATACATCAATTGAGAGCAAAAATGGAGTTAAAATTTTAAGCAAAAACAACAAGTCACCAACAAACGTTACCTGCCAATTTTAGAACAGGATTTTGTGGGTCTGATAACAGTAAATTCTGAGGCTTAAGATCCATGTGAGCTATGTTGTTCACATTCAGAAATTGAAGTGCAAGAGCTAAAGGAAAAAAAAAAATGTCATAATAGACTAAAATTACAATTGCAATTAATTAATTATTAATTACAAAGAAATTTGAGCCTTAATAGGGGAAGGGTGAGTGTAGTGTTCTGCACCGGATTACTGACAGAAATTTTGTTTTCTTTCTATAAATACTACAGAACTACTTCTTTTCAAGTCCAAGTTATATGTACCAGGAGGGTAAATATTTGATTATTATTGAGGAATGTTACGGTAATATATCATGATATCTCAGAGGTATCTAGATCAATCATCTGTAGAGGCCACAGGCTGGGGCAAATAACTCATCAGCAGGACACTTCTACAGTACATCATGATATATCTGGAAAACGGCCAAGTTCAATGGTTGTTTTTTCATTCAATTATTGAGTTAACTTTTTTCTTCAGAGAATTTTTCATAAATCATTCTCACACAGTTTAAGAAAGTGATCTGTAATTTACATTCAAAGCGACAGTACTATGATTAAAATTAATATGTATTTCTTGATAGCAAAACTCAGATGATTCAATTTTAAATCTTATACAGAATTATATTTTCCTCATATACCTAACTGTTGTAAAAATTTCTTAGCAATAGGCTCAGGTAGACCTCTTCTGCTGTGAATAAACCTGGATAAGTCACCACCACTGCAATACTCCATTATGAGGAAAATGTATTGATCATTCCACTGATAAAAGAAAAAGAACACACAGATATGAAATGTCAAGAACTGGAGCTTATCTCGTTTGTACAAACAAATGCTTGTTGTAATTGAATGAAAAAATGGGTGAGATCCATGCAACCTTATCCTCACTATTGAAAAGTAAATTTGAACCAAGGGAAAATAAAATTAGTTCAAGTTAAATGGGAGTTTGGGTTGACCAAGGTCTGGTTAGCTGATGGTAAATGAATGGAAAAGTGGGGTCAAATTTAAGGGAAATCAGATCTTGTTCAAGTTAGGGGGGGGGGGATTCCTGTTGTCCACGTTCGAGTTGGAGGACTTCTACTGTAGTTCATCACTGCAAATGTTTAACAACTACATTTAACCACTAAAAGAGACTATGCTTACCACAAAGTCTTTCAATTTGACAATATGCTCATGATCAAGTTTCTTGAGTAATTCAATCTCAGTGAGTAAATTTTCTGTTGAAGTCTTGCTTAGGGAACTTTTTTGAATGCATTTGATTGCAACCACATCTCTGGTGTTACCCTATAGAAAGTGAAGAGTAAGAGTGAACAATTTAATGCCCTTTTACTTGTGTGAGTCAGACCAGGACTAAATTTCTCCCTACAATATTATTACAAAATCAAGCAAACAAGAGACAAGAATAAAGAAATATATCAATTATGGGATCATTAATTGATCCTATCCCAAATTCTCCAAAATAACATCATATGATTTGTATAGCAGACAGTAAGGAATGCTACCAAGGAGATCTTGGAAGTGAAAGGGTTAACTAAATGCCTCAAGGCAAAACTGTCTCCTTGATTTTTTGCTTGCCTTTGAAAATGCTTAAATATCATACAATCTTTTTATGTAACATTTCATTCAAAACAGAAACAATGTTCAGAACTAACTTCAACTGGCTTCATTTTTTAAAGGCACACTCGTGGTAAAAGATATCTCTTTCTTGCCAGCATTCTTTGTGACTTCTTTAATGCAGCAGATAAAAAAATTGGAAGAGGGCATGAATTCTAATTTTTGGCTTGAATTACTACAATTCACTCTTAAAAAAAAAAATTCAAGAGGGATTCAAATCATCCAAGAGTTGTAGAAGAGAAATGTTGTAAGTTAAATTATACACTTATATTATAATTTTCAACTTTTTGGTATGTGCTTCATTTATCTTCACTCTTAAAATAAGAGACTGATTCCTCGTTTTAAAAACTGTGTTCAAATTTAAGATAGAAAAGGACTCATTCTCAGATTAGTTCTTCATAAGAACAGTAACTACCATTTCCTCGATGTTCACTTTCACTTGCGTTTTGTATGACCGATTCATATCAAAATTTAAGGGAAGAACGAATCATCGCGAATTATTTTCAAATATTCATGGTGAAATATTTTGAGTAGCTGTATTTTGAGTAGTTGATGTTTAACTATTGTGAAGCAGCTTCATGTAACTTGAGCTGACAGGGCGGATGAAAGATTGTGACATTCCGAGTCACTGAAAATGAAGAGATACTTCTTTATAACAATGTTAAAATAAATTTGGACGCTTCTAAACTGTTACCTTTTTGAATGCCTTATATACAGTTGCGTATGTTCCCTGGCCTAATTTCTCGGTGATAACATAATGCTCTAGCCTTGGAGGAGGCACTACTTGAGGAGAACTATAGGTGGCCGCCATTTTGTTTGTTTACGATTGAGCCCGCGCGCGATATCGCTGGTCAAAGAAACTGAAAAGTAGCTAGACCCATCAAACTTTAGTCTTGATCGTCGCAATGGTACTTGTAAAGGAGCATATCGCAGAAACATGGCGTAAAATAATTCAAAGCTCCCCGAATAGGCGAGGGAAATCGTGGGTTGTGTTTCGACATGGAACTTGCGTGATTCTCATGGAAGGGGCGTCTAGCAAAGAGGAAGCAATCACTCAAGCCACGCAGATTATTTCTGAATATGGTCCCGTTTATGCTGGAACCCCGGCTGGAGATTTTAATATTACTGAAAATTCTGCAGTTGAAGGAATAATTGTGACTGGATGGCATTCAGATGTTCTAAATTACGTTGACAAGGATGAACAAGGAGATAACATGATGGCCAGTGCTTTGATCGGAAGGAGCAAAAGGGATCAAGACGGAAGGAATCCTGAAGTTCTGCATGTGGAATACTCTATTTAAGTGATATGGATGAAAACATTTTAAATAAGTGTCGACGAAAATAGCTTTCCTTTTTCAATAGAGCAAACTAAAGGAAGAAGACAATACCATCTGATGGTGATGCACAAGCGAATAAGCCATGTCACGCTCGGAAATGTGTTAGCATAAATTAATGTAAATTGATGAATAAATTAATGAAGAGTTATTGCCGGATAGCTGTGGAAATATGTTCCAAAATGACTGTCAAACTCTCAAAAGTTCTCTCAAAAGTTAGCGCGTTTCTGTGGCGATAGTTTATGTAGGGGATAGGGGGAGGGGGGAGGGGGGCGGAAGCAAGAAGATTCGTCAGGGATTCTGACCATCATGCGTTTTGGGTTGAAAACATGGCGGACGGACCGATTGAAGAATCGTTTGACCGTAAAACTATGCCTTTTTTTCGGGAAAAAATTAGTATACTTTCGCGGAATCATCAAAATACTTCACTATTGATGTTTTTTTCGAAAATTGTAGCCTGTTTATAGATTAGATTGAAATGTCCCAGGTCAATTACAAAGGACTACTTCAAATTCACTGCCAAAAATCGAAGGCAGTTCTACCTCACTACAGCTGCACGGAAAGAATGCAGGGATTTAGCCCTGTTTTCTCAGCGAATGTGGTTGTTTTCGGAAGAAATTTCACCAGTGGAGGCGAATTTAGCAACAAGAAACAGGCAGAACAAAATGCGGCCAAAATAGCGCTGCGTGAATTAGGATTGTTGGAACCAAATCTAGACACAAATGAACCAAAATCGCAACAATCTGAGATCAAACAGCCTTTGTTCGTTGTCGATGGCGCTGAAGTTGGTCAGAATAAATCGTGTGCAAACATAAATCCTCTGTCAACACCAGCAATGGATGAATCCCTGGAAGATAAACAGCAGACGCCATCAGCTGAAGAAGATTTGCGCTCACCTGTCGCTCAGAGTTCGGCTACATCTGTAGGGAAAGTTTCTTTATCATTTAAAAATATCATTCAGGAGAAAGCACAGAAAATGGGATTGCCTCTTCCTCAATATGAGACTACAGTAGAGGGGTCTGGTTTTGTTTGCACCATGACCTTTAACGGGCAACAGTTTAAGAGTGAAGGAGTTTCATCCAACAAGAAACAAGCTCAGCAAAGTGCAGCATCAGTAGCTGTTAAGCTTTTGAATTTAGAGCAAGGACCTGAGAAAAAATCCCTGATACAAAAAACTGTTGCACAAGACAGTCAGAGTCCTGTGGTCTCTCCAGAAAAATTTGATGCCAAATTGTCTTACAAGAATCTCTTTCAGGAGAACTGTCAACAGAGGGGGAACAAACCACCCATTTATGAAACATCATGGAATGGTAATGTATTCTACTGCATATATGCTTATTGTAAAGATTAATTGTCATCAACAGAAATGCCCAAGCCTGAAAGCAGAGCAACAGATGTTTTGTTGTACTATACTTGTCGGTCATTGTGCAAAGCATGCACTAGGATAGGTGATATTAAAAAAGTCTCTACATAATGAAGTTTTCTTTTTTTTCCTTCTCTTCTTACCTTATCCTTGTTTAAAGACAAAAGCTCTTGAGGGCATTTGGTTACTTTTTTTTTCTCTTTCATTTTCTTTGTGTGTCTGGCTGTGGTTGTTATTTTAACAGTGCTGTCATACAATGTATGTACTTCTAATTTTCTATTCCATGATGGTGCTTGGACAAATATACATGCATGTTTGCATGTTTGCGCACGTATGATCATGACTTAACAACTAATATCTCAGTTTGATTGGCTTCCATATTCTCTTACTTAATGAATTGTATACCAATGTGTTAGCACACAGTACATGCACTACATATATCATGGTGTTAAAAAAAATACCTAGTGGGTGCATTTATAAAGTTATTTTTAAATATTACTTGACATCAGGACAGGATTGTTTCAGGTAGAGTTTATGTTTTGCTATGCGATCTTTATGCTCTCTGTTTTTATACATTAACAGTTGGTTTGAGAAACTACAGTAAGATTTCTGAACAGCCCCACACTTCATTACGCATACAGTTCTTGGATAAAGAAAACAATGGCAAAAATAATAGATTGCCTTTGGGACTATGACTTTGTTTTACAATAGTATGGGGCTGTTTAGAAATTTTACTAATATTACAAAAATATTTCTTTCAAGGGACTGGATTTATCAGCCGTGTTCAGTTTGGTGACAAGACTGTGTCATCAAAGGTGCCATGCTCCAATAAAAAACAAGCTCAGCAACTGGCTGCCAGGGAAGCCTTGTTAGCTATAGGAGTATCCAATCCAGAAGATGCATTTAACAACAAAGAATCAAGAAAATTGAAATCCAAAAGAACTATGCCACAGATGAGTGGATTTAAAAGAACCTGGGTACACTCTCGTGGTGATCGAGGACAGTTGAATCCATGGTATACTTTGAACTTCTTATACTTAGTAATGATTGGATGAGTGATATCATGATAGCAAGATGTAATGAATGATCAAAACCAAGGTCTGAGTTATCTGCCAAAGCTTAAGGCTGAAGTGGATAATTTAGGCACGAGGGTTAATTCATGGTATCGTGCAAAAACAAAACTGAATGATTGTTTTATTATAAATTTTTTAAACAATCTGCAAAAGAGGACACTTCTCTCTGAGTTTCAAAAGTTTGACAATACTATACAAGCAAGGGGCTTGGAAACTATGCAGACTGAACTCACCATGACAAATGTCAGTAATATCATTTGCAGATGGTATGTCACACTGTGTGTACTGCATTTATCATGCCAACTTTGCATGCTACTTTATGTTCATTGAATACTCTTGACCAATCAGATTTTCATAGTAAGTCTAATGTTTAGTAAATTAATATTTAGTTTTTAATTTTCTTTATATATTGTAAATAATGTTTGTTGATGATTGACCCGCCTCGAATAGCAAATTTGCTATCTGCGGGTCAACATAATCTAAATTATTTTATAAGAAAAAGAAAAATAAAGTATGAAAGTGTGAATGTATAATTATTAAAATGCTCATTGTCAATAATATCACCATTGAACATTAACCTTCGTAACTTATGTTTTCAGTAAATAATCTTATTCATTATTATTTAAAATCATGATAATATTTTCACTTTTGTGTTTTTGTGTTATCAGGGAAGAAGTTGACCAATCCTGGAATCAGGCAATTATGAACAAAAGACAAAAGCTGGGCACAGATGAGTACCCTCTTAGCAAAGGACAGTTTGAAGGAAGTACATTTGCCCTTCCATTAGAACACCGGCAAGATTTGACAGTCGCTGAAATCTGGAAGGAGAAAAAAAACATTGCTGTTGTTGGAGATACACAGTCATCATTTATTTTGTACTGCACAAGAGTTCCTGGGACTTGTAACATTTTCAACACTCGGACCATGTCCCTAGTTTTGCTTGAGCCAGGTGAACTAACAAAAAACACTTTTATTTAACTTAATGAAAAAATATGAAATTTTAAGTTGGTATACCATTGGTTTGGTAAACTTAAATAATCATGGCAAATCTGATCTATATGCCACATTCAGTGCTCCAAGCTGCAACAGGTTTCATGCCATAGTGTCTTTTTGGCAATCAAATTTGCAGCTTAAGTTGCAAATTTGGTAAGTTGTGTATCCACTAAGTTGCTGCTATGTTTATATTGAGTAAGTATATGTTTTTAGTTATTTAATCCTTTGAACCCAGCAAGGGACCAGCTTCTAATATCTTCTTACAGTAATACCAATGAACCATTTGTTATGATCAGAAAAATTGAGAAAATGATGGCCATTCTAAGAAACTTTGATCATTAGGTAAATTCTCCTTTTCAGTCCTAAAGGAAATGTATAGAGAAGAGTTTGTAGAATGTGGATACTGAATGTTGTGGTGTAATGAGTTTATAGATCTTGATTATGTTTTTAGTTTGTTTGTATCTTGTAATGTATTAGGTTATCGTATAGTTGGTCTTGATGCCCGTTACACTGATCATAAGGGCAAGGTTGCTCTTAAGGCCGAGAGATGCGCAGATATTATCATTCCTGACTCACCAGATCCCGTTTTGACAAGCTGTGGAGTTGTACTGCTTTATCAAGATCCAGAATCAAGGTTACAGTCATTTGAGGTTTCTTTTCTAATAAGTGAAAATCTGCGAGTAGCACCTGCACCTTATGGGTTAATTCTGATTTTGAAAACTTCCATCCTTAACTAAACTGGTTTTTGATATACATGTAGTTTACTTCAAGTGCTCCTAAAGCGGTATCTTTCCAGCCAAGCATTTGTCAATGTGGCTGCAGCATTAGCACAGTACTTTCGTCGCAAGGTTTCTGGTCGTCCTGTATCACTGGATATTCCAAGCCTGACAGAACACATTTGTGAATGGATGTTGGAAGAAGTTCAAAATATTGCAGGAATGCATGAAGAAGCTCTTCATCAGCTGTTTTCTCACATGTGGAAGTTCAACAAGAGATGGTGTTCTGTGTTAAGTACCCCTCTCCCTCATGATCTTGAATCACTGAAGGTACAAAGTACTACAGAATAATGTAGACAGGATATTGTAAATGCTCTAAGAAACCTCCTGGGGCCCTCCAAAGTTGACTAGTGGGGCTCTTAAATTATGGAGGGGGGTTATACAAGAGGGAGCTGATTGGATGGCTAGGCTCTTTAGAAAAGGGTACTCATCATAGGGCTCATTATAAAGGAGGGCCAGCACATTGGAAAGTAGGACCCACTAAGCAGGGAGCTTATTGGAGAGTAGAGCTTATTGAAGGGCAGGGTGTACCAGAGAGGGGACGATAGTAGGGCTTGGAGATGGGGGCTTATCAGAGAGAGGGCTTTTCCAAGGGTCTGTTGTATTTCTTCTCTTCTCTTCATTACTTACAAATGTGTGTGGCTACTTTGGAATTAATGATAAATTGTGAAACAGTTTTGGCAGTTTCCAGATTGTAGACAGCTGCAAGTGTTGTACTTTAATTTACACATAGGTTGGTTTTCTTATCTGCCTTCAAATTAGCTGGCAAATATCTGAAGGTAAATAAAAAAAATAATAATGGTCACTGATAAATCTACCTACTTAAGTACATGCACCTTCCTGATGAAAGACAAGAAGTGTAAAAATAAATCTTTAAAAATAAATATGATTGTTACTGATGAAGGTTTTTTCACTAAGGCTAAGGCTTTAGATGAACTTGCGCGTAGACAAGCAAGTGATGTTCAGCAATCAGAGGATTATTACCATCCTTGGAGTCTTCCCAAAGGAAACTTCAAACATCGCATGCTTTCAACAGGTTGGCATCAACTTTTTGGAATCTTACATTATTTTAAAGAATGGACTTCCTGTAGGGATGGGGGTTATTCCATTTGAAAAAAAATTGTGCTTAATAGGAGTTTCTAGAATAACATTCCTTTAAACCACGTCATCTTTGGGTAGGTAAAAACAACAGCAGTAAAAACAGACACCAAAAAAGACTATTACTTTAAATTTGTCCTTTCCTTTGTCAGGAAATTGATAATGGATGTCTTCCCTGTTTTGTAGTTAATGATCAGTTGTTTTTCTTTTCAAAGGTCTTTTTCTTGAACCTGCTGTCGACTGTGCTGTGAGAGAATTGAAAGAAGAAACAGGAATCAAACTGGACCCTGATCAAGTGAAAAACTGCCCCTGGATTGATTTACCACATGATGATAATTTGAATCCCCATAAAGGTAAGGAAGTAAGACATAATTGGCCTCAATAGTTCTCAGTGCAGTGAATTCTGAATTGAAGAGTCTGGGTTCCAGATCAGACCTAGCTAGGTCATTGTGGGTACCATCAAAATCTCATAACCTCACTCTTCCCTGGCATTCCATCAAAGGGGTGGTTGTAGCAGATCTTCTTTGCTGCTTCATGCACCAGGGTAAACCTAGGCAGCATGAACCTTCTGGCCTCTAAAGTGATGAAAAATGCCAATTAAAAAATTACTGAGGCTTTGACAAGCAAGGTGGCTTATCAGTGTTAGCATTCTGTCTACAGATTTGAAGCATAAAGTTGTGTTAGCTATACCCATGAGGTTTGTTCCTATTTCCTTGGCATTAGAAGCAAACTTTTGCTAGTGGTAACCAGTACTAATCAATTTACATGACATGATTTAGAAGGTACTTGTTGACAATCTTTGCACATAGTTTACATTAATCACTAACCTGTTGCAGCTTCTTTATATTAGGTGTCATATTAATTTTTTTTTAACAGGTGATATTGTGAGGTATTTCCTGTGTGTGTACCATTCAGATGACAATGAAGAGTTAAATTTGTCTCAGGATATGAGTGCAGTAAATACTTCCATTGAGTGGGAAGCAAAGCAAAGTATTGATGAAGGTTGGTACATGGTAACATGAACCTCTGGTTCTTTCCTTGTGCTCCTGTTTCAGTTTGTTAAATGTGGCCACTGCAGCTGTCAAATTATTTAGAAAGGCTTTGTTTATGGCAATATTACTTATTATAATTATGCATTGCACTTGCTTCTAAATTTGTTTGTTAATTGTTGAATTAATTATACCAGCTCATTTTCAAGCCACTCAGGCCAATTTGTGAAATGGAGATGTACATTAATTGGTGAAAAGATAATTTATTTATCACTTTCAGTAGAAGGTTTTCCCTCTCTTGAGGCATCAAATGAGCAAGAGGCTGTTGAAAATGAATGTAGTGACTTGATGAGTGGCATGGACCTGCAACGATGCCAAGAGGAGATCCAACAGGACATCCACATCTTGACAAATGGACAAGTGGTCCCTGATATGGTGGAGGTGGCCCAAGATCAAGCCCAAAGTCAAAAGGAAGATGCACAGAGAAGAGGAATTAAGCGTAAGAGGAATGATGATGATGATGATGGTAAGAACAGAAGGATCTTCAGATCACATTTATTAATTTTCTTTACTGTATGTTGTGCCACACAATTAATCTTATGATGCTAGTTTGGAGGATTTTGTATTGGTCAGTATAGATGACTTTTCTTTAACAAAGGGGTTTTAATGGGTCACAGAAATACAGTGACTAACTTACTGTGTACCTGATTTTTAAAGTGAATTTCCAGTTTAATTCTTTTATGATCAGAATATGGATGCAAGAATTTTAGAATTGAGAACTTCCATGTCTATGTGATTTAGCTATATCAACTTTCATTGTTTTAATTTATAGTAATAACAGAGGACTGTCAGTTGAGAGGAATATCTTCAATGCCTCAGGACTGCAACATTTCACTTAACTCATTGTCTTCACCTGTGCCTGAGGTGAAACAAGAAGTAATTACAGCTAAATCACCTCATGTCCAGAGCAGTGTGCATGAAGAGTGTGCTTGGTTTTCTGTCGAAGAGGCAAGAACAAAATCACCTGTATTTGAACAGGTTTATCAAAGGGAAGAATTCCAACAACTTTTAGCTTCAATTTTGGCCTCAGAAGAGAGATAGTACAAAATAACTTTCACCCAAAGTGTAAAATTATATTACCTGTACTTATTGAAAATTAGCAGCCTTGTTACAAATTGATCCTCTGTTTTATCAAATCCAATGAATTTTTATTTTAGCAAATACTTTTTCTGTCTGTTATCCACTACCTGAGTAAGAGATATAGTTTTAAGTCATTAAGGTCTGTTTTTTGTTTTTAATTCTAAGCCACAGCTAGTAGTACAGATTGTTTGGTTGACTTCTGTAACCCTTTAACTCCAAGATCAGATTGTTACCTCTCCCCTTTTGCTGCGACACATTTCCTTGTAAACAAGTTACAAGAATTTTTTGTTAGATCAAGATGACAACATATACCTGATAAGTTTGAGTATTCTTATTACCTGTTTGCTGGATAATGTATGGATATTGTTGGGAGACATTACCTTTTGATCACTTAAGGGAGTTAAAGGGTTAAACCAGAGAGCATGGGAGTTCCCCATCCCAAAATGAATTACTTTGAATAAAAATTTTTGGTAAAATTATAAGTCATGTTTCATGAGGGAGACAAAAAGGTGACTCATGAAAAGTGAAATCCACTGTTGTCATTCATTGTAGAATTTGAGATATAATTGAAGAAAATTGGATGGGAACTTAAATTAAGACTTTTAGCAACTATTGTAAATTTTGTATTTGAATTGTATTTGAGAATTTCTCGTGGTCCAAGTGTGACTTCTGACCATTTTCTAAGAAACTGTCTTAATTAAACAAAGCATTTTGTTATTAATGAGTGTTGATAATTTTGAGATGAAGTATTTCTTTGGATGTCTATCAAAAAGAAGTCATTCCACTTTTGCTTTCCATTAAGAAACTGTTACTACTAACTTGTTTTAAAATTGTTTTAAAATCATTCACCTGAATCACCAAATTTTTTAGCAATTTCATACCTATCAGTGAAGAATGACAACAATAATGTACATCAAGAATATCTTTTATTTACCCCAAGCTACTACACAGCTAAAACTATGTCTGTTCAGAATGAAAGATCTTGTTTGAATTTTATATGAATGTAGCAATAAAAGAAAAATTTTGTGACAGAACAAAGATTATACACCATTACCAACCCTCCTGTACTTCAATTGATGAAAGAAGTTAAACAAACAGAATGCTGTCTCAAAAGGAAATCCAAACTACATTGTATGTTCTGCATTAAATTTTACTTTCATTTTAATGTTTTTCTCAGGACAACATTAAAATCCAGCACACATGTATTTAGTATTGATTTGAAATGAACTCTTGTTGCTATTATGCAAGATCACTCATCTTAAATTTGTAATTACAATGGCAACTTAAAGCAAATGAGGAAATTCCATATAGTACCCAATGTGATCAGTATTTTTTTTAAACACAGCCCAGGGGTTATCAAAATCATATTTGCAGAAGGTGGTGTTATAGCATACTTTGAGGTTCTTTATCAACTAAAACTGGAGCATAACTTAAGCGCTAGGAAATGACTATATTGAGATGGTGAGAGAAATATTATTTTGCAAACCCAAGTGACTGATCCAATCATTTTTGGTCCTTTAACACCCAAAATCTGACTGTTAATTCTCCACTTTAGCTGCTAGATATTTCTTTAAATTAGTCAGGCAAGTTTGGTGTTCAGTATTAGTATTTTTGCTGCCTGTATGGATATAATAGGGAAAAGGTGAATGTTAATCACTTATGGGTTGGGATTAAGAGGGTTAACAGTGGAAGATCCAGTTCAGTTAACCCTGTAACCCATAAGAGTGACATATCACCCCTGAATCAAACTTAAGGTCATATGCATAAGGAAATTAGAACCCATTAAAGCAGTTCTTGATTGATGAACAAACTCTCCTTGTCAATACCTTGGGAAATGGAAACAGAACAGCGTGAAGAATATGCATACTGATGTTAGGGTGTAAAGGGTAATATTGGATGAACTCTGAAGTCTCCTTAACTTTGGGCTCTACTTCTGGATCGGTCACTGAATGTCAATTGTAGTAGCACAATTAAAAGAGAAGACCAGCCCTATATTAAAACTTTAATCAAAACTATAACAAAATTCTTGAATGTGATTGGTTATCACCAGCCTGATTTGAGCACCAATAGGACAGCATAGTCGTGTCATGCTTGTAATTGGACGGTGAAATAGGACAGTTAAAGGGACAGTTCACATATTTGATGCCTATGTAAGTGAACAGAATGCATCACAAGCGTGTGCTGTTGTCTTGCATTTCACTGAGTTAAATGTTGATATTTTTATGAAAATGTATAACCAATGTCTAGTTTCTTTCTCAAATTTTGTTATAGTTTTGATTTATTAGTAACAGAACTTTGTGTTGTCCAATTCTGTCTGTAACCATACTCGTGATTAACAAATTGGATTCCAGCTTTGCGGTGGTCCAATTTTGTTAATCACTCGTATGATTACTGACCAAATTGGACTCCATTCAGTCCTATTACCATAATATAAATAAACAACATGTATCATAGAATGAAAATTTAACTATTATAGTAATCATTCCATTACTGTTTTTGAATACAGTAAGTCACCCACTAATTACTTGTTAAGTTGCAAGAGTTGGTGGAAAATATTTTCAAAGATTCTTTTAATCAATTGAACACTGAAATGTTAGCAAATGTCATTGATAATTTAGCTTGGGTTTAAGTGTATATATTAAATCAAGTAGGATCATAATCTGCACAAAGTACTGTACAAGGCATACTTAAAATATCAATGGTCAAGTGTTACCACATGCCAGCTCTCTTCACTTTAAAAGAGTGATAAGCTAGGTTGTAGTGTATATGATGAATCAGGGGGATTATAATGCAAGGTGTATCAATGGTCAAGGTTACCACATTATACTGATAAGCTAGGTTGTAGTGTATATAATGAATCAGGTGGGATTATACTCTGCGTTAAGTACTGTGCAAGGTGTACTTAAAACATCAATGGTCAAGTGTTACCACATGCCGGTTCTCTTCACTTAAAAGTGTGATAAGCTAGGTTGTAGTGTATATAATGAAATAGGTGGGATTATACTCTGCGTTAAGTACTGCACAAGGTGTACTTAAAACATCAATGGTCAAGTGTTACCACATGCCGGTTCTCTTCACTTAAAAGTGTGATAAGCTAGGTTGTAGTGTATATATTGAAACAGGTGGGATCATACTCTGTGTAAAGTACTGTGCAAGGTGTACTTAAAATATCAATGGTCAAGTGTTACCACATGCCAGCTCTCTTCACTTTAAAAGAGCAATAAGCTAGGTTGTAGTGTATATAATGAATCAGGTGGGATTATACTCTGCATAAAGTACTGTAAGAATTGTACATCAATGGTCAAGTGTTACCACATGCCGGTTCTCTTCACTTAAAAGTGTGATAAGCTAGGTTGTAGTGTATATATTGAATCAGGAGGGATTATACTCTGCATAAAGTACTGTAAGAATTGTACTTAAAATATCAGTGGTCAAGTGTTACCACATGCTGGTTCCCTTCTCTAAAAAGAGTGATAAGCTAGGTTGTAGTGAATATATTGAAACAGGTGGGATCATACTTTGTGTAAAGTACTGTACAAGGTGTACTTAAAATATCAATGGTCAAGTGTTACCACCTGCTGGTTCTCTTCAAATTAAAAGTTAGAGTGATAAATAAGCAGCAGCCTTGTTTTGTCCAAACCTGTAAAAAGGGAGAGTGATCAACCTGTGTAGACACCCCTAATGGTGAACTGCAAAAGGTTCAAAAAGGTCTTGTTGCTGAACACAAAGTTTGCTGAATCACAATCTCTGATTTCTTACTTTTACATGTCATTCTTTTTTTTTGGTAATACAACTATATTAATGATGTATTGGGACAGTACATGATGTATTGAAAGAGGAATCATAATTACTCAAAAATAGTGTACTGAAAAAGAAATTTATTTTCCTTTTTGTTTTGTGTGGTTCTATACTTGATCTTAATTCAGTACCTGTTTCTAATTAAATTATATATTTTAAGCCCCTTTTCTTGGAAGTATAATTTCCAACAATGTGGATATAGGCAAAGACTGAGAACAACAACAAAAGTCAATACCAGTTTACTGGTTATATTCCCCTGCTGTATCAGAAGGGACCTTACAGAATGACAGCTATTGTATCTAGGCAAGGCCAATCAACAACTGTTTTCCTCTGGAGCTCCACAATTTAGATCCATTCAGGTTTTGGATTAGTGCTATATCTGTTTTTGAATTACTAAGATTTTCATTTCAGTGAGACATAACAGAAATTTGGAGACCACATTTTGACATTTAAATTGCCTTGTCACGAGCATGTTTCTCATCACAACATGCCATTTAACCTTTTGGTGAACTTTCATGTTTGACAGTTGGCAGAAAGGGTTGCCTCTGACAGCCATTTTGCCGTCAAAACCAACACATTATTGTATTGCAGAAGATGTCAAGGAAACAAACTGAGTTTCATGACCATATGCACAGCTATTGGTTTTGCTTGTCAAGTTCTTTGTTTGAAAATGTTCTCATCATAGTGGCTGTCATGCTTGTCATAATATAAGGTCCCCTTCCATTTAACTTATTTTGTTATCAAAAAGGTGTGCCAGTATTTTACATCATTATGCCAGTTCTGATAAAAATATTTTACAATGGTAGATATTTATTCTACCTCACAGAGATCCACTTTGGGTGGATTTGAAATATAGAATACTGATACAATATGTCAATGGCCTAAAGGCCTACATTTTCATGTGCTGATAATGCACATAACTTATATCTAGATTGTTAAAAAGAACACTGAAAACCCAACTATGATTTTTTGGATGCTCTGAGATGAATAGTTATACAGATTCACACAATTTATAGTGCCTGATTGTTTGCAATCCTTAAGGAACATTTCTGAGAAAGTTCTGGGCTTGCTCTGATCAGAGGCCATTTTATAAAGAAAGAAAATGACCTCATTAAGGGAAGTGAGATGGACAAAGAGGAAGGGAAAGGTGTCTACAAACTATCTGACAATCAGGCAATTACCAAATGCAACGATATTATAAATCAGTGTCTTAAAATCTAAAATGTGTTATATATTAAACTGCTATCTTATGAAATGGAAATTGCTAAATATATATATACTACAATTAACATCTTTAAATAGTCCTTGTTCAGTAAAGTTCAAATTGCTAACTATTTTCGTTAGTAAATTGCCATGTTCAAAGAGATTTTTAAGTATCTTGAATATATGATTTGTCAACAATCCATTCAAAATCTGTAAATTATCAAAGTTAATTCTTTAACTCCCAAGCTCTGATTGTTCACTCTCTGGTCTTGTTGCTAAACACTTCATTGTAAATTACTTACAAGAATTTGGCATTAGATCAAGGCAACAACTTCTACCTGATGAGTTTGTTGTCTCATCACCTGTTTGCTGGTTAGTGAATGAATATTATAGGGAGAAATTGCATGTTAATCTCTTCTGGGAGTTAAAGGGTAAATCTCACACATATAAATAAAATTTTGCTCACTTTACCATAAATAACCTCTGACACAAAATGACTTTTGAGATAAAAAAAGAAAAGAAATACCTTAACCTACAGAGAATTACTGAAAATCAAAAAAAATTTTAACTTCACTTTTCAATAGGTGGTATGAACAAATTTTTAAATGATATTAAAAATTTAAACAAGTTGTTAATGTTACCTAGGCAATATGCATAGACATAACTATTCTACTAAAATACGTTTGCATTAAATGAAAGCAACTGAATATTCGCAAATAATTATTTTAAATGGAGTTTTAGTGACAATAAAATTCTACATCACAAGCTTAAGCTGCCTTTAAGTTGACAGGAAATTATGCATGTACCATCCTGAGTACATGACAACTTGGAATAAAATGATGATGGCCAAAGTATACCTGCCAACATTTAATTTTTCTTTTAATGTTGTTGCGATTTCCATATCCATAAAACCTTGCCTTTTAAAAATGCTCCTTCAACAACTGAAAATTTCTAAGAAATTCCTTCTAACAACTGAAAATCAATCACATGCACTGTTGATTGCAATGGTATTTTAGGCTACTGCTGGGGTTTTCAATGACCATTCCATTAGTGGCTGCCAATGTTTTAATAGGTGGCTGTGCTGTAAGGTGATACCCAAACATGAGAGCTTAAGACTTAACCCTTTAACTCCCAAGATCTGACTGTTAATTCTCTCCTCTTGCTTAGTTGCGAGAAGTTGGTGTAAGATCAAGACAAAAACTTCTTCCCGATAAGTTTTGGTATTCTCATTAACCGTTTGCTAAAAAACCATTGGATATCATAGGGAGATGTTACATGTCAGTCACTTCTGGGAGTTAAAGGGTTAACTGACCACAGTGAGAGGTCTGACAGGTAGCAGTAGATCACCACTAACCGGCTTTTATGGAAACCCTTACTACTGTCAACCATGTTGCAGATCTCTTGAGCAAGTACTGATGTTCAGAGGATTTACAAGGTCATGCTCCTAAATAATGACTGGCAGATTTCTATCCATATTCCTTTTGTCTGCTTAACATTACCATTACAATCAGTAATTTCTAGTAGGGTGAAAGAACATCACAAGTTTGGTTCTGAATGTCAAAGTTCAAATTAATGTTATTTAAAGGTGCAGTGGAGAACAAAGGACAAATGTGACAGACTGATGACTAGCACATGAGTATCAAAGCCCCCTATGGAAAAGGTTGATGTTTTCAGTTTTACAGTCAGCAGGTATACCTTACACATTGCTCAATGAATTCATTGTCAAGTGGACTACTAAAATTGGAGCTAAAGAGGGCTGTGCCTTGAAAGCAAATCAGAGGCCAAAATTGTGATGATGCACTGATTAAATTCTGAAATCTGGAAGTTGAACCTAGGACAATATTAAAGCTGGAACACAAACAGAGTTGTGTGTGAGTAGGATAAAAAACAAAAACAGGAAATGAAATTCCTGGTCAAATGATATGTCACACCCTAGACTGATAATTCAAACAAACTCAAACACTAGTTTCCAAACAGATGATATAAACTATGATCAACTGTGTCTAAAAATTTTAGTTGTAAACACAAATATGTGCTAAAGTCCACCTGGACTGTACATGTTCACACCTGAACTACAAATTTTTTCTATTCAACTGCCATTGATTCTTAATGTAAATTACTGTAAACATTGGTATACTAAACCTGCTTATTCTCACTTCATTAGGAGTGATTCTCACCCTTCCATATCAAAGACTAATGCATGTGCACCTGATTTTCACATCTGCTACCAAATTAAGTTGAGTGAGGTGTGATGGAAGTTTGGCATTGATGTTAAAACTGTGTTGGTGCTGCAAATGGCTCTGTTTCGGGGGGAAACATGTTGTTGGAATTCTTTTGGTAGGCTTTCACTTTGAAAACACCTTTACTTAATGGCCAAAACCTGTCACCAAACTTTTTATTCACTTAACTCAACTGAAAATTGTAGCAACAAAAAAACTTGCTCAATTAGAACTACTTTGCTTGTCTAATTTTCTACACTCACATGAAGTGAGAAAACTCTTTGGTTTGTCTTAGGAAATTTTGAGAGGTCTTGGGACATGTTGAAGCACATACATGCAACTAATTGTCAGATTTCCTCGACATCGTGAAAATTTGGCAGGTGTATTATACCCTTGACTTGTCCTAATTGTTACTAATTAAAGGAGCAAGCAAAGGACAGGGATTCAGGAACTCATCACTGGTTTTCTTAGTCTCCTCTCACTAACAAAAAATGAATTTTGAAGAGATTTTTCCTTTAGACTAGTGTATATCATAATTTTATGGTGGGAACATTGTTTAACGAAAAACTCTTAAGATCAAAATCTCATAATTATAAAAAGATGTTTCAATATGCTATAACTGAATAAACCCATTTGTCAGCCAAGCAGAAAAATATTTTAAGAAACAGGAAGTATGCCTTATAAAATGAATGGATGAAAATAAAAGGCCCATTTAATAGATCATGCAAGACACTCAGTAATTTAGTTAAGTAAACTCAAACAAACACATTACACACACTTTGAGGTTGGATGGTTCATCTGCTGTACATAAAAGCTGCTAATGTGCCAAGTCCCAGTGTAGTGAGAAAGACACCTTTCCACCATGCTGCATTTTCGCCTTTGTCATTAAATTGTCTATGGAGGCCTTCCTAAAAGAAATGACATGATGTCAATTGATGGTAAAGTTAATTAATGGTAAGGAGGCAGTGTGGCCAAGTGGATTAAGGGCTCTCGGTTTGTAACCTGGTGATCCTGGGCTTAAGTCCTTCACCTTGTTACTAAATTGACTTTGTCTCTGTTGCCTTAAGTTAATCTCTTTCCTATACAGTCAAGTGGTCTGTCTCCTGCCAGGTAGAATTTTGCAAACAATATGTTTATTTACAATATTTGTTTCAATTTGTTTCTTTCTGGTCAAACCTGCTAAAATAAAGTGTATTATTATTATTGTTATTATCATTATTATTATTATTGTTATTATTGTTATTATCATCAAGACTCCACATGTTATAAATACCAATCAAAAATGCATGAGCTTCAACAACAAGGGCGGATATTGGCTATGCAAATCCTTCTTTGCAATTTTAAAGACAGTGAGGCCAATATCCAGCTGTCTTCACTGAACATGCTAAGTCAATAAGGGATTTATTACATCGCAAAAAGAAAAACACAAAAGAATTGTAATATAAATTCTTGAAACTCAACAGTGTTTTCTATTATTGCCAGTCACCAAAGCACACTTTGTGATTGAATTGTTTTCAAAGCTAATAAAAATATCTTTCCCTGATGGAGAAAACATTTCCTTAAGTTGCAAACTGTTCAAAGCAGCCCTAAAGAATTCTCAAGTTATATGCAATAAAAGCCTGCAATACTGATAAGGGCAAAATAGACACAGCTAGCAGGTTTGAGTGAAAATAATACTTCTCCTTTCTGTCTGCCATTCTTTTTTTTTTAATGTTAGATGTGGAGTTAAGAGTTGTATCATGTGATAAATCCATGTGAATATTTTTCTATATTTATACTCATCAACTGTCTACTTGAGATTGTACTGATCTTGTATAAAGGAGAAATAATTTCTTGGTAAATCTTGGAAGTAAGAGGATTAACGCTGGATGCTAATCTTAGAATCTTTCAGACTTAATATGGTTCTGTTTCAATGGTCTTCTAGTACATAAAAATGGCACTAGATCAAACAAAATATTCTGAGAATTATATGATTTGCATGTTTCAGCAATCCAGTTTATTTCCTAACAGGCACCCACACTTTTTGATTACCACTAAATTTGGATGGCTGCATGGCAGCCCACACAAGAATAACACAAATGCTGACTGACAACCAAAGGAAATCTAAAAGCTGCAACACCTGATTTTGGATCATGTCCCTGCATTTCTTTCCCTCCCCCACCCCCCCTGCAAAAAATTTTCTCTTTATCTCTTCATCCCAGTCTTGAAGTTAAGTCAATCAAGTTGACGAGAATTGCCCAAAATCAAAGAAAATCCACAAAAATTACCACTATTCTTACTACCAGCAACCTCAAAATTTCTTAACACAGAAAAAATTTCCTTCACTTTAGCTCATTTTCAGAAAATAAAGATCATGTTTTCTTCAGCAGATTAAGTGAGCTATGCTGCAGACTCAGTTAGTTCATATAAATACACCAGAAAAGGGACATATTTAGTAAAAAATCTGACCTAACAACCATAAATGTCCCAGCAAAAGTATTATCAAAAGGTTTACAGTATTTGTTGAAATCTTTCAACTAGTTGACTACTTTAGATATTCATGCTAACTTTTTCCAAAACATTTTATAAGAGACTTGAATATTTCGATTTATAAAAATCTTCAAAACAGACTGAACTTTGATCTGGACTTGTTATTTTCAGTCAAATAAAAATCAATTCTGTTTGTTCTTTGGTAATTGCATAGTTTTCATTGTTGACATGAATGCCTGGGCTGTTCAATATTGCTGTGGTTACCTTTCTCAAAAAGCGCTTCTCATGCCAGACATAATTTGTTTTAAAAAGAGTCTCTTAGGAGAAGAAGTTTCTAGATTATTAGAAAACTGAAAACAAGGCTGAACAAGTCCTGTTGATTGTACAAAAACGAAAACTATGTTAATATGCTGTGATTAACTGCTGAAGATTCCAAAGAATTTGACACATCTGTCACTGAAAGCTTACGACTGTGCTTGCAAACTGCTTTCTCAGCACTTTGGCTTTTTCATCAGTGACCCGCCATGTGAAAATTCTAGTCAGTTCGCGCAGGCAACATGATTGGTTTATTCTTGCACAAGGACGTACTACGTAAAAGTACACATGTACAACATCTTGTACGTTGAAGCTCTCGGGTAATACGTTTTGCGCAAAAGTTAAATGAACATTTTCTAAGATCATCCACCAGGTGGTATAGAAGTGATTTTCGTGAAGGTCGTATTTTATGATTGGAATGACAAATCATTTCAAATATTCCTTCACACATACAACGACTTCCCGCAATCAGTGAGAAAAATTCTAAAAATGTTCCTATCCTACAAAAAACACGCTTAGCAATTATGGTTCTTTTGTTTGAATTTTTTGTCACTATTCAGCGCTTAGGATGTAATGACGTCTGAATCTTCGAAATTTTCCCTGTCCCCGACTGATTAGAAGAAAAAGGCCTTTTATTATTTATAAATACCAGTCAGTAGCAGCTGAAACCGACATACAGTCTTCAACCTTTCTTTGTTTACGAAAGAATTTCGAATTATTACGACCCTCCAATGTCAGTCGGCGAGGTTTTAAAAATATCCAAGCGGTATTTAATGTAGTTAATTTTTGCCTCGGGTTCAAGTAAAGGACACAGAGTTAAACTAAAAATATAACACAAGGCAGTACGAAGTAGATCGCATTTAAACCAGTTACCTACCCATCCACCATGGTTTTCGATCCATTCACAAAGGCCGCCAACATATCTTCCAACCCAGTCAGTTACCGATCCAACAAGCTCTTTCATATGGTGTTGATCGCAATACATAGCCAGCTTTCCTCCAAAGGCATACAAAGCTACAATCCTTCCCCAGTTAACTCCATCTACAAATACCTCACTGGCGATTTCGAAAAACGTTTGATAGACAGTTGCTGGAGTTATATTTAATTTGTGGCACAAATGGTTCAATAGTAAAGGGTATTGCTCCTCGATTTGATCGGCAAGTTTGCGTAGAGTAGCAGCAGTGGGCGATACAGGGATTGGGTTATTTCCAAGTCTGTAAGATATGAAATCTTTGGCTAGATCCTTGGCTTGTTGGGCAATCGGCGAATCATCCGCGCTGGGCAGTTTGTGTCGGCTTTCCATGGGGCTTTGAATTTTTTTGAGCATTTACTCGCACAGACCACACGCGCTTTCACTTTCTCGTCCCTTCTTCCTTCGCACTATAAAGTCTTCGTTGTGTACTGTTCGGAAGGCGTTTCTTCTCCCCATCTGCCTACAAGTGAATTTCAATGATAAGAAAATAAAAGGGAAAATCCAGCTTTCGAAAAGCTGAGTGATTTGAAGGATTTGACGCTTTCAAAAGTGGGCAAATCGAAATTACCTTCATCCATCTCCGCAGTCCAGAAAGCCGAACAGAAGTTAGAGATTACTGAATATTTATAACTTTGTCAAGACATTTAAAATTACAGTGATCTCATTGGCCTATTTGGATGCGGGGGCGTAAGGAGGATCCTTGGACAAAATATGCTGTCCTATACAAGTGCCAGTATTGGACCAATATAGGTCTGATTCAGCGAAAACGATAACACGCGGGACACGCGTGCTAAATGTGATTTCGCAGCAAAAACGACCAAAACACACATTCCTCTCACATGCCTAATCAGGTCCCTGTTTTCAGCCCTCTGATTGGTTGATTACGTTGCTTCGTCAAGGTTATTTTTACCACATTTTTCTCGGGGTTAAAAATTTTCTTGGACCGCCGGGAACTATTGTTTGTTTCAATTTACTATTGAAGGTGAAGAGTCGAGTTCGAATAGCAAGGAGATCTAATCTTTGATTTAACATTCGCCGAGATAATTTCTACCGTTTGATACAGTTTCTGAGGACCACAGCCTTTCCCGAGGGGAGATACGCAGTTTATATTGCCACCGTTTTGACGATTTGCACGGCTGTTGTGTTCCCGATATTCAAGAAGAGAAGTGGTTTCGCCGGTTGCCGGCTGAGTGGGTCGCAGAAGAGGACATTTTGTACATTAACAATCGTCTATTGAGATACATTTGAACAGTTCGCAAACGAAGTTTTGATTTTAAAAGAGGTTCGAGAACTGAGTGCTGCGTTAGCTGAAAGGACCCCAGCTGAAACTTACTCGTGACTGCTCCTGTCGGTTTGAATCTGTGCTGTAGAATATAAACAAACTGAATCATGGAGTCATCTCTAAGCAGAATCACAGCGTCTAGCGATGTTAATTTTGTCGAGCAAGAAGACAGTTTGAGAAGAAGAAGCGAAAATGTGAACAGTACGCGATCATCGGACCATGTGGAAAACCGCCAACAAACTGTGACGCAATCGAATTTAGAGGAGATTTTGTTAAATAATAACAATGTAACTCCGCAACAAGTTGGCCAGATCCTACAAGCCATCGGCGATGAGCTCAACAATGCGTTCAAATTTCAAGTGAGGAGCAGCAAGAATGGGTAATTGGAGTAGAAGAAGGCCATTTAAGAAGGTTTCAAGAACTTAAAAATGACCGAATCATTCACGGCGTTTTGGTATGAACCTCCATTTACATGTACTTAAGGTTCCATACGAACCTGTCGCTTTACGTTATATGCGATATTTACTTGTATTGTCGCTATTTTCCTCTGCCATCGACAACGTGGAAATGGTTTCAAGTTAAAATTGACATGCCCTTGGGAAGTGAGCTGTCATCACCTACGGTCGACTATCAACTTGCCATTGGCTAGCCCTTGAATTTCACTGTTGAGAGATCGATGTCGTTTGTCACCCTAAATGAAAATCCCTTTGGGATAAATCGCCTGAAGCAGTTTTATGCTTTAAAATATGAGTTTGATTCGAAAGGCTGCTGTAAATTGCAATACATTGTCGTTAGGACCTTCTAGCAGCAATAATCGGCTTCTCTTGTACATATAGTGTATCTTTAAGGGTAATAACGACGCGTTGAAAGCAGATAAATGTCGGCCATTGTTATATACATAACATTTGTAAATGCTGTTTATAAAACTTAGTTGTAGATAAAGATTAAAAAACGCTATTGTAAGAACAAACAGACGTTAAATTGGATAAGTTATTTTAAAACGCTCTTCTTGTATACAGCTAAAGATTATATTTAACATGGCCGGAAATTGGACGTGTGTCATTCGTGCGTACGTGTTTTGTTATGTACTTTGCTTAACCACCTGTTGTCAGTTTCGAAACCAGTCGTTAACAACAATAAAACACTAAATCTTTGCTGCTATTACAGCTCATGACATCTTGTTTGTTGACTCTCTCTCTCAGTCTGACCATTTCATTTTCGTCGATTACGAGATCGAAATCGAAAATAGCTAGCTGGGAAGTTCACCTTGTTTGATTCGCGTCATTAATTACGTTTCGACCCTTTGTTCTTTTGTTTTTTGACAATGCTTGTACATATGTTCAATTGGTTTTACATGCGATATTTGTCAATTGACTATTGGCCTTTAATTTTATTGCATGAGGGTTGCATGAACATAAATGAATAGCAAAACGTGATTGGTAGCAGCGCTCGAAAGAAATAAGGCCTAAGCTCGACTCTTCTCGCCTCATCAAGCACTCGCTTCAGTACCATGTTGATATTGGCAGGATTTCAAACTCTGTAAATTTAATTTGAATCCTTGAAAATCATCTCAATGCATTAAACCCTCATTGTTGCTCTCTCTCTCCTGAGGAACCTGAAGGTGGATTAACTTATCATTCAGGGGCTTTCAGTCTGACGTTCTTTCCTTCTTTTTGAGGGGGTGAGAAAGTAGTAACAGGATCCCTTGCGACCCCATGAGTATGAACCATTATTTGACTGCCTCATGAAAGCAGGATCTTTCTGTCATCAATATTTTCTCTGCTTGAAACAGAAAGTATATTCACTCTTCACTTTTTCACTGAGTCCAGCTGGGGTACTGATTTCATTCCTTTGCACCTCAAGTCTAATTCTAAGCCTTTTCTGTTAATGAATGCAACAATAACACATAGGGTTACTTTGTGATTCTCACCAACTAATGTTTTTGTTAATATTTAATCAAGAGAGTGTTGCTTTTTCAGGGATACAATGAGCCTACTTAGGACAGCTCTCAAAGGGAGTGTTTGGGAAGTGGGGAGGAGTCCTTATTTATTGCCTGTGGGGAGGGGAAAGGGGAGTTTGGTTGTGTCACAATAAAGTTCACTGACCCTCTATAAGGCTCTGTAATATTTTCATGATATGGTCAATTTTCTTTAGCACCCCCCCTTAAACCCTGTTGGCAACGACTGATCCCCCGAGGCGAGGAAAAAATGACAGGTCCCTTACCTGCAGAAGAAAGTTGAAATTAAATGTATTTTTCTCACGTGTTTGTTAAAAAGAAAATTGTAAACAAGGGCGCTGAATATAGAGAATAATGACTTCCGTTAACGTGCACAAACATTGTTTTGCTCCTTGGCAACCAGGGTGGTTTTTTTTCATTATTGTTTGGTTCACAATATCGCCGACGTTGCCGCTAGGTAAATGTTAATATTTATAATAATAGTAATTAAAAATAATAATAATAAAAATTAATAAATAGATGACTAAACACTGCCCCCGCCAAGTTCACCCAATCCAAATTAAGGATACGAGGATACCACTAGCTTGCCGACAACGAAACTCGCCAATAGGAGAACGATGGGTGTGCACCTGCTATTAGAAAACTTTGTACTTGTTCAGCCTGGCTTTGCGACACTGTCATTGAAACTGTTAAGTTATTGAGACTTCTCATTTCAATCAGAACTGGAAAGTTCTTTCGTTGTATGTCAGTAGGCCACCAAGTTACGGCGTTTTAAAGCGTACAACTTTCTCCGTGAAGCCCAAACAGAATGGTAAATCAACAGGATATTTGTACCTGAATAAGCTTTGTACTCGAAACGTTTCGAGTTCTCCTTTTCCCTACCACAGATTTCTATGAATGTTTAAATTTTCTTTCGCATGTTTTGCGAGGAAGTCGTTTTTTTTTTTTTTTTTTTTTTTTTAAATTTCCCTTTTAATTTTGAGCGGGAAATTGGCGCGCGGCCGGCCAGAACTAATTCCCTTACGTTTGGCCACTGTGTTGTCTAGCCAATGTGGTCATCGTAACGTTGGTTCACTTCCAGACTGCAGCTTTCATCGCGCCTTTTTCCAAAGAAGAAGATGTGTGTGTACAGAGATGAATACTTTAATTTTAATATAGCTTTTTTCTTTGTATGACAATTTCTTACAGCCAACTTCCAAAGAATGATCTAGACAGCATATTAATTTATCAGACTATCGCTTAGCTAAGGGCTTTTTTTTTCTTCTCTTTTCCTCGGGATGAAAGTTGGGTCTCATTTTTTTCATTTTTTTTTTCACAATTTACTTACAGGTATCGACGAATGTTGTTGTGAAAATCCAAATCCCCAAGGGATATAGAGCTTATTTCCTAGACTCCCCTGGAGTTTGGAAGTCACCTTTACACGTTCTGACCTAAAAAACGTCCGAAATTTCTCGTAAATACTTTTTCATCGGGCAGAGGAAATAGTAGCATAAGAAGGCATCCAAATACATACTTTGTTGCTATTATAAAACACCTATCGAAATAGTAGAAGGTTCTTTACATAACACAAGGTTTTGACAGCGAAGAGCTCTAGTTATAATAAACTAGGGCGAAAAGGCAGCTCTTAACATCGTTTTATACATTAAGCCGCCGATTCAACGTTGTTAGTAGAGCCCGTTGTTTCAGCTCTGTTCTTGTGCTTGTAATGACTGCTTAATAGGCCTTTTAGCTGGTCTTCTGGGAGAGTGTGGTAAAAAGAGAGATGTCGGAAGTCTTCAGACAAGTCGTTCTCAAGCACACTAATGAGAAACACAAAGGTCGGTCGGGCTTTGGTAGTAAACTGCCAGCAAAGTGTCATCAACTCGTAACTGAAACGAAAGCCACAACATAAATGTCACAAGTCAACGTACAAGTACTGTCGGAACTTACATGGAAAAACGGAACTCGAAAATCTCGGCATGCGTTAACCCTTTACACCCTCAGATCAGTATGCATATTCTCCATAATGTTCTCTATACATTTCCTTAGGCGCTGACGAGGAGACTCTGCTTAACAATCATCGACAAGAGCTTCTTTAGTTGGTGACCATTTCCTTCATTCTCGTGACCTTTACGTGTGATTCAGGGTGGTTATTGACAGGAAAAATTTGAAACTAGTTACTAGTTAGTTTGGGTTTGAAATTTATAGGATGAGAACCTTGAAGGCGATAGAGCGTTCAGTGTAACAATCCTTAAAAAATTCAATACAATATCTTGAAATTTGTCATTCAGAAAATCCGTGGGAAGCTCCTTTATCCTGTATAGCAGGATTTCCTTTTGGTTTGATAAATTAATATTTTTTCCCTAATGAAGAAAAAGGTAGCTCAAGGTGAGATCACTGTCTTTAACCAAAAGAGCCAAACAACATACTACACATAAGCTAACAGCCACGTGACTTACAGCCTATCAGGGCATTCCTCGGGTTTCTCCATCACTCCCCCGTCCACCACATATTTAAGGACCTCTTCATTGGACTTTCCAGGGTAGGGTTGGGCTGCCAATGTAGCCATCTCCCACATCACCACGCCAAACGACCTATAACAGGCAAAAATTGTATATAGTTACAGCGTTCTGTTGAGCTACATTACAAAGAAAAATTATCAAGTTTGGCATCGCACCTTAACGTCATGTTTTCAAAAGCTCGGGTTGGAAAAAAGGACACTTCTCGATTGAGTGTCGTAAAACAAAACCGAATCATTCACGACAACCAATTATAGGAAAAGAGATATCACGAGGGGCCAATGAGAAATCAAAGTATAAAAAAGGAACTGCCTAAAGCGCGGAAAAGTGCGAGGGACCAAGTCGCCACTGGTTTTGGTTTTGAATCTAATTGGTTGTGAAAGTGGCGCGAATTTTCTGGAACAATAAAATAACGAAGTAAAGCAAAAACAAAGAAATCAAAGATTTCTTTCGTCACTCAACTGGAAATTGCTTTGACAGTGCATAATCACACAAAAATGCTGTGAATACTATCATACTTTCTCTCAAGCAACCTCTCTCCAACTTACCAAACGTCGCTATAACTTGTAAAAACACCATCTTTTAAAGACTCAGGCGCCATCCACCGCACAGGAAGCAAACCTAAAGGATGATTGAAATTGTAACTAGGAGAAAGTTGAATTCCCTCTAATCTTGGCTACATGCGCATAGAAGATAGAGGAGACACGAGCTGTGGTTCTCGGTCTAGGTCTCATAGATCGGAACTCGACAAACTAAGGATGTCGGAAAATTGAAAGGTAATCACAGTTGGGGAAAGAATGCATTAACTAAATAAAGCTACCTTTTCCTCCTTTTCTGTAGTAGTCTGTTTCGTAAATATCACGGGTCATTCCAAAATCTGTTAAGACAATGTTATAGATACTCATTTAAAAGATATATACCACCACGATAGCAAATGAAACACAAACACATCAAAGACATGACGACCCAACTTGAACACATGACAGACTTTAGAAGGATTGAATAACTAAAAACTCACCTCCTATTTTAACAGTAAAATCCGCGTTTACCATGCAGTTTCGTGCCGCGAGATCTCTTTAACAAAAGAAGTATTCCGTTAGAAAAGATCCTGATTCTAATACGTCAAGGAAATATGAACGTTTCAACTGGAAAATTGTCACATTCTGAGTTCGTTAAGACTTGACTTTTGGGCCTGGGAATGGCTCAACATATTACCTTGGCCACCTTCTTTCAGTGTAAAAATTTCAAGAATCTAATGAACAGCTGGATAGTTGCCCACGCGTCAATCTGTTCAGACACTTAGTCTATTTGCAAGGCAGCTATGAGGTATAAATCCTACCTGTGCACGTATTTTCTAGCCGCAAGATACGCCATCCCATCGGCAATCTCTCCAGCCATTTGGATAAGTTCTTGAAGCGTTGGAGGTGGCAGAGTTCCTTCCTGTTTAATCAGGAAAAAAATTAATCTGATCAAAATTGATGATGAATGGTCCCAATTCCATGCAGATTGAATTCCACACGGCATCCCTAACCCTTTAGCCCTTAAGAGTGACTAGCATATAATTTCTCCTTACAATATCACCCCTGAAACAAACATGAAAGTCATGAGAATAAAGGGAATGATCACCAACTAAAGTAACTCTTGATTGTTAAACAAATTCTCCTTGTCAGCCTCTTTAAAAATGTATGGAGAACAGTATGGAGAATAAGCATTCTGATGTTAGGGGGTAAAGGGTTAAGTTCGATTATCTTCGTGTCTTTTCTATTTCAGTTCACTCCATGAAATTCATCGTCCTTCCCAAGATTCTACCCGTGGGTAGTCTTATCTTTTTTAAGTCCCATGCTTGCGAGAAATGTTCAACAGTTGAAACCGTTATTATCATCATCTATCATTTTACTTCGATCGACAGTTGAGTGAGTCACAGAAAAAAGTTTGGCGACGAGGTCGTCACGGGCAACCTTCCTCGTTTCCAGTGGTAACCGCTGGATCCTGTTACCCGTGACATCAACACGACTTTTAAGTCAAAACACGGTCGCCAAACTTCCGTCGCGCTTCACTCAAGTGTAAAATCCTAGTATAACCACCGCTAAATGTTCGTTAAAATCGAGATCTTACCCCTGGCCGACGAGACCTTAAGAAGTTCTTAAGATCTCCCAGTTCCATAAGCTCCATGATAACAAGAGTAGGTTGCCCTTCTGAGACCACACCCAACAACCTTACCACGTGGTTACTACAGAATTGTCTGAAAAGAGAACAAAGACACAGAGAAGGACTTGATAAATGTGATGGTGGAATTTGTACGGATGGTTAACGCCATATAAAAAGTAACAAGGATATATAACGCAAGGGTCACATCTGCCATCCACTTCAAAATTTTATTACAAAAATGTGAAGATCTACTTCTTAAGTTTTCGTTCCTGCTTTTATTACCGAGACTTTTCGTGGCACACTAACGTTGTTTTGTCACTAAGAAATTTGTGACCGCCGAAATTATTGCTCTGTTTACATTACACCAATTTCAGGGATTTTTTTCAGGAATTTCAAGTTTAATGTTTTCTTATAACGCTATAACTACAGCCTCTTATAGTCGCCACAAAGGCGTCAATCATTTTAGAATTAATTAAAACAGTGATTAAATTAGACCTGAAAATACGAAGCCAAGTAGCTGTACTGAAAAACTGAATACGACAATTTATGAACCCTCACTTCATAACAGACGCCTCTTGAAGAAATTCCACCCTGTCTCGAATCGACGCATTTTCACTTACAGTCTGTAAAGAGGAAAATAACACATTGAACGATCGAGCAAGTCTTTAACCCTTTCACTCCTAAGATCTCTTTAGTAATTCCCCTCACTATCTGCCACATATTGCTTATAATTTTAGTCCTGAGAATTAAGTGTCGGATCAAATGGTAATCCCGTGATTACCCGTCAACTGCCTGAAACGCAGGAAAACGCCAGTGCTAAGACAAGATGGGTTTTACTTTTGAATCTGATTGGTTGGTTCGCACACTTTTAAGCTGTGAAAATTCCATGGCTTTCCATGATTTTCCCGGGGCCAAACCTAAATTCCATGACTTTCTAGGCTTTCCAGGACCCGTGCAAACTCTGTGAGAAGATGGTTTGAATTCTTGGGCCAATCACAGAAGAATATCTGTTTACCAAATTAGGATTACCTTCGATAGCCAAATAAAAATGCGTACATTGAAGTAATGTAAAAAGGTTGATGATCATTTTAGCCACCATGTTTGAGCAGATTTTACACTGGATGGTCAGTTCATTGCCGCTTCAATTTTGAGAGTGGAAACAAATGCTAAAAAATGACGCAAGTTGAGTTAAAAAAAAAAGACGACATTTTTATATTTCCTGTAAACATCCTTCACGTCTGTTTAACTTAAATTCGCTTTACGACAGAAAACATCAAGAAAGCAAACAGATTTAATACCTTCACAGCCACTCTACGCATTTGATCACCGGGGGTAATATCTTCAGCTTCTCCTTCGTAAACCATCCCAAAGGAACCATTTCCTAATTCACGAACCAGTTTGATTTTCTCTCGGGGGAATTCCCATTCATCAGGAATGTACACTGCAATCACAAAAAAAGAGGGTTCAACAAAGTTTACATTAAAACTCTATTCCACTCACGCGCGCGTAAATATGATTGGCAGACCTCCTAGTTGATTTAGGAATTTCCCGGCCTGCCATTCAGTTGAATCTCACGGATAAAAGGAAGTTTTTATTCATTTTCTATGGCAGAGAAGATAAAGAGTAAACTGAAATTTCCCTTCAAAAGAAAGAAAAATTAATTGGGTTTTCTCTCTGAGGGTAAATCTATAGCCCCCCTGAATGACGTGCGTCCATTTCCTTCTAGTCGAATCCAATGTCTGGTCTGGACTGCAACACACTTTCCAGAAGGAGAGAACGTATTGCGCGACCACACCAACATACGATGGCAAAGGAGAACAAGATTGGGGTTGGGATGGGGATGTAATCTAAAATTTCCCATGTTGACATCACCCTATACACTGTGGGACTCACAGAGTCGATGTACTTGCAAATGATCTCTTTATTTAAATATTGAAAAAAAAATAAGATTCATCCAGTTAGAACGTACCGAACTGTTGGAGAGAAAAAAGAAAAAAAAGAAAGAAGATCTTTGAGGAAGCAATTACCCCTTACCGTCTGTTGATGTCATGTATTCTGGGTTAACAGAGGCATAAAGTACACCCGGGATCTGTTCATCGCTGTACCTGATGTGATCAAACAAAGCATTGGAAAAGCGGTCGTAGAAAAGGCAAGCATGTGATGAGCTATTTTGAATACATTCATGAAATCTTTGATGGAAGGAACGCGCACAGCTCGGCTGAGCTTAAATAGAAAACAGCAAGGCCTACCACAAGGTAATTTGAAACTTGGGCTTTTGCAATGGAAGACAGAGAAATAAATTCCGACTGTTGGATAAAACAACTGCAAGGAACGATTTTCCTTTCATTTATTTAAATTTCCTTTCATGCCTTTCTTCTTCAATTGGGCGACATTTGCGGGCAGAAAATGGTTATTCATTGAAATTCTGTACCCTACAAGTCTGCCATAACTTGGTTAACCTTTTCGAGACTTTTTGGCGCATTTAAAAATTTCTTTCTAGAAACCCTGTTGGAATTTTTCAAAACAGAACCAAGAATTTGTCATTCATGTGAATTCATGTTGAAGAATGAGTTACTGTTACCATGGCAATAGTGAACAGCGCTACCTTACCTCTTGTATCTTTGACGAGCAATGTACCACACAACAAAACCACAAGCTAACACAAACACAACACTAGCAGCCAAGCTGGCTCCCACTATAGTCCCTAGGGACAACGCATCTTTTTCTCCAATGGGAGGTACTGCAACAAAACACAAAAGCAAAATCATTTGACAAGGTACGAATGCGTTCCGTGGCGCAGAGAATTACAACCTAGTGAAAATTGTGTTTGCACCTTATACGAAACGAAGTCTCTCTGGTACCCAAGCCAACCGAAGTTAGGGCACGGTTCAAAAGCGCCTGGTCTCCCTCTTAGTCGTCCGTTCAGATGTCGCACAATCGTACCCTTTCTTTTAAAGAAAGGGCTGCGTGACATCCAAAGAACGGCTGCAAAGAAGTCTGAGAGCCGGCTTGTGAGTTAGTACCAGTTCCCCTCTGCACGCTTTTTAATCCGTTTCCCGGATATTTACTGAGAAACACTTGATTTGAATAACCACTATCCCTTCTGTAGTACATCCACTTGTGTTCCTTCACTTGGTTCTCGTTAGAATGGAGAATGGTGCAAACAGTCTTGTTGTACTCGTGAAATTCATATAATTACTGCCGCTACATAAGCCTTTTCCAAATTCCCAAAAGCCGTTCCTTCAAAATAAAGCCGGACGCCGAACTTTTCTTGTCAATTAAGGACTGCCGAATAAAAATCGTTTTAACCTCGCTGTAAAACAGAGTTTCTTATCACCTCGGAAGACTTTTGGGAGAAGGATTGCAAAGCAAGCGCGACAGCTTTACGGTAGCTTTGGAGAAATAGGAACTATACCAAAAAATAGCTTTAAACTTACCTGTGGACTGCGATTCAATGAAATACGAGAAAGACACAGTGTTACTCCACGATCCATTGCCGGACGAGGTAATAGCTCTAACTTGGGCAGAATAGTTTCCATCTTCTACTCTCTCTTGGTATTTTAACTCTTTGCCACTCACACACTTGAATTCAGGTTGAGAGTCCGACTAAGAATTGAAAAAGAAATACAATGAAACAAAAAGGTATTTTTTTTCGCATTTGAATGCGGAAAGCAGTGTGGGAGTGCCATGACATCAATCTACGATTGGTTTTTCAACCTCACGCCACCATCTCAGCCAATCAGAAGCAAAAAATAAATCCATCCGCACTTTGCTCACCCGCTCCTCTCCGCGCTTAAGGCAGTTGACATATCTACCTCGACTTCCTATGGGCTACTTATGGTACAGAGTATTTTTCTCTCGTAATACCTGCGTGTGGGTGTATAAATTTATTTGTAGTTTACAGCTCCTAAGGGTCGATTAATTTACAAATCAAAATTAAAGTCATTTGTTGATTTTTTTGGAATTCTGTCTCTAGCTACTCAATGTAAAAACAAAGTGCTCTTGGTGTTTGTATCATTTGGCTAATATGATTATTTGCACATGTATTTTATTCTGTTTTTTTACTAAATTATTGATCATAAACGACAGAGCAATTTTGTCATTCAAAGCACGTTTCAAAAAGATGACCTACGTTGGTTTCAAACTATGGTTTAAAATCAAGGTTATCCGATGATAATCTTTGATCTGCAAGGTCACTCATTACCCAAATCCTTCCAAAGCACTTTCAGTTGGTCTTGGAAGCTTAGGTCTCGCAAACCAGTCTATTCTAAAACGGCACGCACAGTAACATACAATCTTCTAATGGCCTGTGCGAAGGTCCTCATTATAAGCGCTTCAGCACGAGCGTTTCTTTGCCTGCGGGGAAGAATGAGGCCTTGATGAATGAGAGTCAACGAGAGGTCTGCAAGGGGTGAAACACCCTCTTTATTAGTGCCAGACTCCAGCCGACCTCCCCCCGACTCGCGTCCAGTCTTCCCGCGGGAGGAGAAACACGCGTCGTGCGGCGCTTATGACGAGAGCCTACTCGTAGGCTAGTCATTCGATTCACTGAAAACTAACAAAACCACTTCTACAAGCATACCTGTGTTATCTTTATATCATACTTGAGCACCACTCCATTTGGGTCCTTTGGGGAAACCCATGATAATAGAAACTGTGGCAGATATAATGCATAGAAATATCTAAATTAATTTGTCACGACCCTGGAACAAAGACAAAAATCTGCCAGATTTTTTCTTTGTTCCACGAGAATTCGATACCCTGACCTTCGGATTCCGCGCTCTGATGCTCAACCACTGAGCTACAGAGAACTCTAAAATGCCATGATTAGCCATGACAAGAGCCTCATGAGAAGCAATCGAGTGATGGAAATTCACGGAATTTAGCAGTGAACATCCACGCGGTGGCTATTCTTGTTCACTGTTTCCTGGTCGAATTGGAATTTGAAATGTTGGTTTTTGTAGAAGGATGAAAACCGGAGGACCTGGAGAAAACCCTAGGAGCAATGACGAGTATCAATACACTACTCAGCCCACATGGAACGCCACGTCCAGAAATCGAATGCATGCCACAACAGTCGGAGGCGAGCGCTCTCGACACTGCACCATCCCCGCAACCAGCCATTTTCTTTGGAACCTGTTAAAAGACTCTTCCATTTTGAAGTTTTCAAAAGCCATACTCGGTCCTCGACTAACTTCATTATTGAAGAGTAACGTTACACCAGTCGAGGAAAGTAATGTGGGTTGCAATGAAAACAATTAACCTCATAACAAGAAATATGCTTACTTTTCCAGTGTTGTTGTCCATCTTGACTTTTAGGGGTCCTCCAAGATTGTCGGCCGTTTCTGAAATCAAGACCAGAAAAAAGACGGGCTTAAACAACTTCATAAATGTCATAAAAAGGTCAGGTCAGGTAAGGTCAGGTTTCGGTACTGAGACATGGCCGAGTCATTTGCGTTGCTTTCGTGGGTAAAATAGTTTTCTTTCACAGTGCCTCTCCCCACCCTCCCCACCCACCCAGGAGTATAAATGGGTATTAGCGAACTGTCAGGGAAACGAAATGAAAAGTTGAAGGGGGGGGGGGGTTAACCTTGCCATGGATTGGCATCCTATCCAGGGGAGAGTAGTGATACTCTTTTTCTGCTTCATGCTATGGAAGGTGGGATAAGCTCCAGCGGGATGGGCTACTTGGTTCCTTAACATTTTGAACCCTTGAAGTGACCAGCATCTACTTTGTCCTTACAATATCACCCCTGAATCACTCATCAAGGTCACGAGAATATAAGAAGTGATCACCAACTAAAGCTCCTGATTTTTTTAACAACTTCTCCTTGTCATCACCTTTGGAAATGTAAGGAGAACAGTATGGAGAATATGCATATTGATGTTAAGGAGTAAAGGGCTTTGTGTGGAAACATTACGCCACAATAACCTATGCTATATCACTCACCGTTTTTGTTTGTCATTCCCTTTGTGGTGGCACAAGAAGAGCCAGTTGCACATCCAACCTTTGTGCAGGCACAGACCTAAAAAACGTAGCAACAGACCAATTTCAATACTTTCTATCGGTAATCTTTCAGTTAAAAGTTTAGTAATATTGTCAGCTCTTAATCGCTTTGTGACAATCCACAATGGAACATTGCGTGACGCCTCAGTGCGTGACGCGTGACGCCTCAGAAAAAGACCACGGTGACAGTCACACATCTCTTACGTCACGCCAAGGAACAAAATAAGGAAGCTACTTTCATCATCTCTATGGTTAATCGGCTAAACATCTGAAAACGAAAATGACTTTAACCCTTGTCATTAAGGCGTCAGAGCGCGCGAAAGAACAGGTGCCCTGGCGGTAAGCGCCATGTAAGCGCACTGGACACCAAATCGCAAGTTCCGTTGCCTGCTTCTCGAAAGTCCTGCTAACATTACGGAACCGAAGCCATAATTTACATATCTTTAGCTAAGGAAGAGTATTGCGGGTCTTAACTCAAAAAACAATACATTTCGTTAAATTTACTCAAATCTCTATAATTTGAATTTTAAAGTTTTCAAACCTCGATTTGAATGCAAACACGAAAAATAAAACCAGCTTTGCGGAACCGGTTGTAACCGAAAATTTAGAGAAATAAGCCCCTGGCCCGGTATCTTAGTTGTGTTCTTGGACACGACAATTTACTTTCACAGTGTGTCTTTTAGCCCAGGTGTATAAACAAGCGACAGCAACTTTCGAGAAAATTTGATGAATTGCTGCTGGGTTACCTGCGCTTCTTCGAGTCGCGACACAAGGATAAAACCGGGAAACCCTGCTGTGGCAACGAGCTGGTGGACTCGATCATTTCAGAGGGAATGTACTCAAAAATCTTCCCCTCAAAATCCAACCAATTTTAAAATTGGTTTAAGTAATTCAGCAGCGCAACGAGCAGTCATTGCGCAAACGTAGCCTCATACATTTATACTTACAGTGATTGTGTAGTCAGAGAAGTGCCTCAGGTTTGTTAAAGGGATTTTATTAACGTTGCCATCCACAGCGAGAGAAGCATTAGGCTTGGTTGCTGGGACTGTGGGTCTCATGGAAGTCGGTTTAACTGATGTGGAAGACAACTTGGATGATGTTGTCTTTTTACCAGATGGTGCTGTTGTAGGCTGACACATGGGATTCTGGAACATAATACCGAGGTATATTCTATGGTAAGCTGAATTATAAACGTACTCTGATTGGTACTTACTCAATATCTACTGGAGGACAGATGTGTAGATGACATCACCATCAGCAACCTTTTTCTTCTTTATTACATCAAACAAATAAATTCCATGTTACCGTGGGCCTGTACCGTAGCAGATTAGAGAAGATTAATAACGTCGGTGACACGCTCCATTGTTCTTAACACATTCGAGGTCTTCTGTGCTCTTTTACTGTACAGATCCACGGCAACATTAACGAATCTATTTATTAAGTATTTAACTCAACTTTTTGAGTAATGTAGAAATAGTACAACCCAAAAACAGTCGGCAGTTTATTTCACATCATTACATAGTGACTGAAGGATGTTTTACGTACGTCACAAAGGAAGAACAAAGAAAGAAACTGAGTATCCACTGTGATTTTAGTCCTCTCTCGTAAATTCTTAAAACTCATCCACTAACATATTGATTCAACTGTTTAATTAACCCATCGCTAGAATATCTCTTCGCCCTTTACACGTGATGAGGACTGGCAAATAATTTCTCCCTAGCTACGCTATCACTGCTCAATCACACATTATGGTCGCGAGAATAAAGGAAATGATTCCTAACCAAAAAACCGCTTGATCATTGAACAAGTTCTCCTTGCCCGCACCATAGGAAATTTACAAAGAACACTTATGAGAATATGCATACTGATGTTAGGGTGTACAGGGTTATTGATCTAACCTGTGCATCATTACTGCAGTTCGGCTGGTTTAAGCCTGTGGTAGGTGCGGTCGTCGCTAACACAGTTTTGTTTGTTGGAGGTTCGTCGTCGTCTTCTGTTTTCGTAAAAAGTGTTTTGTACAAGACGTCTTGGAACTCCTTCGCGAATAATGCTGATTGTTTTTCTGGTTTCATTTTTTCTTCCTCCTTATCGTCACAGGTACAAGTCAAATTTGTTACGCAGTTTCCTGCAGAATTTAGGATATCATTGAAAGCAAATCAAATGTTAAAGAAAACAAAAATGTGTAAGAATTTCGCTTCACGCGATAAAAAGCCGACAACAGTGCCGGTGATAACGTCACATACGCGCTTGTTACTTGATAGATCATAGGTGAGCGCAAATTCAACAACGTCTACATCATTGGCTGAATTATAAACACACTCCACTGGTTCTTTATGATGATCTTCTGGAGGAAAGACGCATAGATGACATTACCGTAAAACGTTTTTTCCTTTTTCATCATATAACACAACCTAATTTCATGTTACCATGGGTATGTTCGGTAACAAATCACAAAAGAAGTCAAAATACGGTAAGTTTCATGTGCCAAGTTTGGGTTCTTACCACATTTGGACGATTCTTCTCTATATTTACCACATTTCGACGTCATCCGTTATCTACTACAGGGCGTGAAATTGCGCCTAATACAGGCGACCAAATCCTGAAAATTGGTCGCCAAATTGGCGACTAGAATTTTTATCATAATCTTACCTAGAGATATAGTGAATTAAAAATATCTGCAAAGATAAATCCGCAGCAAACTTCCTCATTAAGTTTTTTCCAAAACGCAGCACATCATCCATCCTAATGTCCACTTTGTAGCAAGTTAAAGATCTTTTCCCTAACTTAATTTCTAGAACGATGACAGCGTGAAAAAAGGTTTTGTTTGTCTTTGAAAATGGCGACCAACTTTTTTTGAATTGGCTTCCACTTTGAAGAATTTAGGAGCCAAGTGGCTACCAGAAAAAAAAAATTAATTTCACGCCCTGTACTACTGAACAGGTGCTCGGCAACATGAAATCAATTTGTCACGTAGACCTCAACAGATATTACATTTGACACAATTACCAACAATTGACTGGGTGTCTGAAATGTTCGTCCACCGTAAGTCAACTCCCAGTATTTCTTCAGATTTTCCTGACCATTCGGTCATAACTGGTCACACCCGATCAACTCGCGGGTATAGAATATGAAGTCTAACTAAAGAGAAAAGTGCAATAGCCCCAGACAGGATTTCAAAACAGACCCCTAACTCCCTAGCCCTATGCACAAGCCATGAGTAATTTTGGCTAGTTTTTATTTCATTCAAACTCACCATCAGGAGTGTTATCTGTGCTTCCCTCTCCATTGTTATTACCACCAAGTCTGTTACTGAACACCTGTCGACTGCACCAATCCAAATCAGCTTTCCAGGCAGAGTATGTACTTATTTCGTAACTCACAATGTACTTGGTTATGTTCCCATTTGGAAACAACGGAGGTTCCCACGTCACAAGTAATGCAGAAGAGTTGAGGTAGTTTGCCTCGAGACCGACCGGCTGGGAAGGCTCTGAAAGGACAATCACATCCAACAGAAACTTGGCACGCAGCGAAAGAGAGGCATGATAGATAGGTCATTAGTAAATTTGGATCGGTGCCAATATCTAGGCAAATGGTCACCTACCCTTTCCCACACCCAACAACATTCATCGCCCCACCCTTTCCCCCTCTCCTTCGATTTGAGCTTCGCTCACCGCCTTAGCAAAAATTTCGCTCCCTTTCCAGCCTTCCGCTACTATAAAAATTAAAGATGGCTGCTATAGTTTTCTGCAAGATAGATATTTGTCGTGCAGTCGACAGGTGCGAGTACTCGCCCGCCAAAATTGCACCTGCCCCGTAGGCTGTGTAGGAGTAAGAGCGAACGTGATACTGATCTTTGATTTCTTCACTTACTGCTCTCCTTTGTCATAACAAAAACCAAGTCACTCTTTGCACCATCGTTCTTCAGTACAACTGCCTCAACTTGAAAGGCATACAGTTGATACGGCTTCAGCTTTTTAATTATCCTCTCAATCTTCCGACGCTTTGTTATCAAGCCTCTAGAAACATTTACTCTGCAAACGACGTAACAAAATGAATCATGTAGCAGTAGCTAGATCTTTGTTATTGTAATATGCTAACATCGAACAAGTAACTTTCATTTCGCAAAATTTCCCGGACGGTTTACTGGTTTCCATATCTTTTCCTGGATGATGGGCACTAAGTCAGTATTCTGTCCAATTTGCGCGATGGGGTCGATTCCGGCCGGCCGCGCATCAATTTCCCGCGCAAAATTTCAAAAGAAAACATGGGAAACAACCACTGTCTCGCAAAATAACCGAAAGATAATTGAACCGTTAATCGAAATCTTTAATGGAAACAAAGTAGAGAAAAAGGAAACCTCTTGACTTTTCGAACACAAAGTTCATTCAAGTACTGGTATTCTGTTGAGAAACATTCTGTTTTAAAATTAACCGAAAAAGTTTTTCGAAATTGAAAAACCGTGACTTATTAGTTTGAGTGGTTGGTTGAAACCAGTAAACCATCAGACAGCGATATACGGCAAGACCAAAGCGATCCCGGATCACTTTAGTCACCCAAATGAAGATTGCTCTAATCAAATCAGTAAGAAATGATAGTAAAGTGTGCTTACTCTGGGGGCGGAACTGTATGATCAATTCGCGTCCAGCTGTGTAAATGAGAATACAAAACATACTTTGAAATTGACGCTTAAATTACATTCAATGAATCTTTAGTGATCAGTTGATCTGCGTGGGCAAACTAAAAATTACAATGAGATTCTGTATGTGTTTGTCCCTGCTTCTAATCTCTAACAGACTTCGAAGCCTTTATTTCAGATATCAAATCTATAAGTGCACTTGCTTGTTTGTTTTTTAAGAAACTACAAAATAAAATTTGTCGGAACAAAGTGGCTACTACAACCGCTGTATCCCTAAATGGTTAATAATAACTATCAAAATAGGTTTTAACTGGAAATTGTCACATTCGCATGTTGGAGCACAGAACACTTTCCTAATCTTTTGAGACTGATAGATGATTATTACAAATCATGTAGAAGATCATGTAAAACTGGTTCAGCAGGGCACATTTTCGGGATCTTGGGTGCAAGAAAATTATCGTAAATAGGGATTTAAAAACGGGAAGACTCGCAGTTAAAACGTTGTCACCGTATTACCAAAAGTGACTAAGACAGGGTCTATAGTTGGCCACAGAATAGACTACTGTGGGGTAAGGGTTCTACCAGAGTGGCCTACGGCACAAACCCAGCAAAAATTGACCCAAACTCACCCCTCCCCGATCATTAATAGAGAAATTGAATGACATACAGTATATGTCATACTTGTTCATGGACGAAATCATTAACCTTTCACATAATTTTACATGATTGTGCTGGAGAAAACAACAATTGTTTGTGCTCTGGAACAGTACAGACGTATCATTCATTTCCATGCTTAAGATGCTAGCCACTAGGACAAAATGTGACAAGTCAATCTGACTTACATGTCTCCACTATCGCTGCTACAGGCATCCACATCAGTATATTCTGTTATTTGCCTATTTGGGCTACAGGATTTAATACACATCATGGACTAATAAGCATCTAATTTCTCCATACAATATCACCCCTAAATCAAACACTTGAGTCATGAGAATAGAGAAAATGATCACCACCCAAAGATGCTCTTAATTGTTGGACCAATTCTCCTGGTCAGACCAAAGGGAATTTGTAAGGACAGTATGGAGAATATCCAAACTGACGTTACGGAATAAAATGTTTATTACGAGGCTAACAGGAATTAGCATACGTGACATAAGCCAGTGGACTTTGTATCCGCGTGCTCTCGGAAGCGTCTAGGGAGGGAGCTGCAAATACGAGCGGTGAAGCCAAAATAAACTGTCGGGAAGTGACAAGGGAGCCACAATAACCTGGCAGCCTATTATTTCTTATTTGCCTTCTAATTTCAAACTTTTTGACAGCCCTGAATGATAGCTCTGCGAATTGAATATGTTAAAGCAAACATTATCCCTTGGTTGCTTCTTAGTCCTCTCTCTCTTTCTTTCATCCCGTTTCTGCTCAAAAATGTGTTTTGGCAAGAGCAATTCTTATAACAGGCGAGAGGTTTTCCAAGGGTCTAGCACTCACCCCTGGAAAACCACTCCCTGACTCGTCGTCCTACAGGCCTGCTCACAAGGCTATCCTAAGAAGGTATTCATTTTTAGTCACTCCTAGCAGTGAAAGGGTTAACTATTTGATAACTCTAGAAAATGTAGAACAGAGCATAATAAAACAGACAATGGCATTAAACCGAGTCAAGCACTTACGCCTCTCTGTATGATAGAGTGTAAAACAAGACATTTCTGTAATCATCGTTGATGATAGCGTCGTCCCATTCCACTTTCACACAAACTGGGTTACATCCTTTTGGAGATGTAATTTCTTCTACAGTCACATTTATCTTTCGAACATTACCTGCCAATAAAAAGAAAAAATTCAATCACATCAAGAATGTGGGGGACTGCTTCAATTTATGTCAGACATTCTACCAACTGAGCGGCAGGCCAATCATTATGGCCAAATTATCACGAGTCATACAGAAGGCTTTCCAATCCTTACTAGGGAGGCCTGGGGACTCTTATACTAACTGTCTGTTATGCTTACATGCTACAGCGTTTCCATTGGTGGTGTCTGAGATATCAAGAACTCTGTTACTGTCATTCCTATTCCACTTCAGAATATCATTGATAAGTGGAGTGATCTGGCTTGGACATAGGTACGGATTCAAGTGCACCATGATTCCTCCCTCAATGATTGTTAGATTCTGTTGAAATGGCCACAAGGCTTCTAGCTTGGGGTTATCACGGATGGCCAAGGCATACCTGTAGGGAAAAAACGATGCAAACCATCAGCGGTTAACTTTTAGGTCCATACCATCAAGAACTGTACTCATCAACACATTGTTGCCACTGCTTGTGTCAACCCCTTACATCCGCACACCAATATAAGAAAGCATGTTCTCCTTACTGTTCTCAAGACATTTCCTATGCTGCAAACAAGAAGAACTTGTTAAAAAATCAAGATCTTAGTCAGCAATTATTTTCTTTACTCTCACGACCTCTGGGGTTAAAGTGGGGCTCACCTTAGATTCTCAAATTAGTGCCACCTTGAATAAGCCCCCTAGGAATGAGTGCCTCTTCTGCCAACCAAACTCTGAAATAAGCACTCACTTTGAATAAGTGCCTTCCTGCACTGTCCCTATTTTTATATACAAGCCGTTCCAACTGTCAACTAGAAAAGTGCCTTAAATCAGATCGTCCTGTCAATTAGGCAACACCCTCAAAATAGGCAAACTTCCTCTCCACATAAGAATGAAATAGGCACCAAAGGTTGCTTATTCAAGGATTAATAATATCAACTTTTTAACCACAGAAAATCCCTGTCATTAGCTCTCATTCTATACACACCTCTCATTGTATAAAACTGTTTCTTTAACTGGGGGGCGGGAGAGAAAATTAAAGATACGCCTTGGATGAATTTCCCGCAGATTCTTGAAAAAGTTCAAAGAAGTCAGAGATGCGGACTCTCTGATCACAATGTAGCCCTTCACTTTTTCAATTTGCCCTAAATTCTCCTCCAGCTGTGTTCCAATACCTAGGAAGTTCAGAAAAATTTCTGTTAACATATTTAACCTTCTACAAGTCATTACCATGTGCAAGTAACTGCTCATTCCCTGACGTGAATACAAAAACCAGCAAAAATGGTAAAGGAAGTATTTCCTTTACCTCACAACATAACAACTTCCAATGTCAATTGAAATCAAAATGTATGATGTGAGATAAACAGTAGTGCCTCGCTGCTTGTTGCTCCACTATGATAAAATTGTTGCTCCACTATGATAAAATTACCTCAGTGGTACTTAATTTCATAGGTCACGTTTTTGGCTATTGTAAAATAAGCAAAATCAAAGACCCCCTGAATAAAAATCCTTGCAAAATATTCACAAGTGAAATTTAATTGCCTATAGAAAGTTTAAATCATAGGGAAAAATATGATCAACATGTAATAACAACAACATACATTTGTATCAACATATACACTGATTATTAACTGTTCTTTCTGCAAGTTCTACTTTGCATTTTCTGTTGTGAAATTAAATTTTAATTTGTAGAGATTTTGCATATGAAGTAGAGAATTTAGCCATCAAATGGTTGAACTGGTTTTCAGATATGACAACAAGTTTCTTGTAATAAATGAAATTTTAATATTGATATACACTATTCTGGAAAGGGCCAATGTCAACAGACCTGAGCCACCGCTGCCTCTAATCTTAATGATCAGATTTCCCTCAATTTCTGTGCAGCCTTTGTATTTATTGAGAGTCTCCAGAGAGTCAATTGGTATTTTATATTCTATGTCAGTTGTTTTTTCTGATTCTTTGGTCTTACAAACTGTGAAATAAAAACATGAAACAAAACAATAGTCAATGGTTAAGAAGGATCTTAACAATATTGTACTAGTTAAGTGAGGGAAGTATCTACATCAGCAGTAAATTTTGAATGTGATACATGAAAACTGCTTTCAGGGACAGAACAGGGACCTTGAAGAAAAATACAGAAAACAATGTGAATTTAAAAAGTTATATTTCTAGTTTGAATATTGCAAATGGCTGGATGTGTTAAGTGTCTTGTAAGGCACCACACCTCAGCTTCACCAAAATGTAGGTGAGCAGATTTGCTGCTATCATGGTTTGGGTAAGTTCCCTGTTATCTTCCAACACACCCCATGTTGGCTGAACCAACTCTCCAGAAATAGTAACACCATGATAACCAAGCAATTGAGGACTTTTTCCAAGTTTACAAAGCCTCATCTTCACACAAGGGGACTTAGGTGGATTCAAGAAGCTTATACAAACCCAAGATGCAGTTGATCAGAGTTTGAAACCTAAGTTTCCCACTCTTCATTACCTCACATACTGTACCAGTACTTTAATTGCTATGTGGGTCATGAAACACAAAATTATAATGTCAATCCCAAGAAATAGCCCTAGACATACCCCTTGGACATTTTTCAGCTGTACATTTCAAACACAATAATTTATTTTTTCCTTCTTTATAGCCTGCTGGGCAGACTTTCACACACTTCATTCCAAGTTTCAAGTAACCACGAGGGCAGTCATCTATGCATTTGAACTCATCAATCTGAAAGTAAAATAACAATCACTCTAATAGGAAAATCTCACTAAATTAAATTAAGCTTTACTCCACACTCTTCTTTATAGTATATATTTCCTAAACTGCTGACAAGGACAATCTATTTAACAATGAAGAGTGTCTGTGTCTTTAGTTGGTGATCATTTCCTTTACTCTCCTCACCTCAGTGTGTGATTCAGGGGTGAACTTGTAGGAGATATTAGATGCTAGTCACTTTAAGAGGTCAACAATGGCTACCACACTAGTGCAGTGTGTTTAAGAAGTGATCTTCCTGAAGAATTTTGTCGCAAAAAAATTCCAACCAATTTCCTATGCAATAGAATGGACTTGATCAGGTAATAAACCCTGTTGCCTTTCTTCATGGATATGATAATACCCGATATTGATGGCAGTTCTTTGATCTTGATCACTGTTTGGGATTAATAAAGCTCTCTGCTGAATTCACTCGAATATGAGTTTAAGCATTGTTTTGCATTCATCTATGTTGTACTTCACTTGCCAGTTTTTGATCATTCAGTGAGGCAAAATAAATCTGTCAGTAGACCACCCCTACCCAGCTTTTATTGAAACTCCTCATATTTTAGATATCCCAACAGCTCAGTACATGCAGTTGAGCACTTGCTGGGGACTGGGATTTCTGTTTTCTTACAATTAATGAATGTTCCAACAAACTAACTATGGTACAGTTACTTAACCACCTTTCACACTTTAGAACATTGCAACCAAATATCATGAAAGTACAGTAATTCTCTGTACCTCATACAGACCAGGGCCACATTTCTCAACACACTCCCCTTTTGGCATACGGAAATTTCTGCAGGCATAACAGTGATGTGGTGAGTTGGTTTTGGTACATCCTCCCAGACACTGTTTGTCACAACATGAGGTGCTCTTTCCAATCAGACCTCCATTTACACAGCCTGAGTCACCACACTTCATGTCACACACTGACAAAAGAAAATGCACTAACTTTAAAATCAAACATTTTGGTTTGTTTGTTTCATGCACTCAACAAATAAGCCATTTGAAAATGAAAGAGGCTCACAGAGACACTTTGGTGAGTACCTGTCCAAAAGAGCATTTCATACCAGATAAAACACCGACAGAGAGAAAATAACAAAATACTGTGCTGTTAATACATTATACATTATAGAGACAAAATTGAATTATCCTTACTCTTGGGGACTGGTTTCTATGGTCTGGATAATTGCAAGTCCCAATAATAAAAAATATTAATGTTACTGAGCCAAAAAATAAAACAGAACAACTTCAGAGAGAACACATATTAATGGTATGCAAGAATTTAAGCATATTTTAAAATCATTGCACATAAACTGTTACAATTCGCTGAAAGTATTTACAAAAATTTATCAGGGCTGACCAATAATGTTTTACATCAACCTAAAATGCTGACAAAAATCAGCTTCAAGCTGCTGTAATGCACACAGGTCACTACATGATTCTTTTTAGGGTACCAAGATAGGTGAATAGTGTCATCACTTTTTTGTCTTTCCATCCATGTTAAACACTTTGTGATACATTCAACAGCTTCAAAAACAGAGCAAATTCAATTCCAGTGGAAGTTTCATTACACATGTTGTGTTTGATAGAAGAAAGTTGTTACTGATCTTGAATGTGATGTATCAATATTCATGAAAAGATGGGACCAGAAGGGCAAGTCTGAATAATCGAAAACTCTGGATAATCAAGGTCCACATAATTACTATTATAGTAAAATACAATCCAGAGGTAACATGTAGCACACAAAGTCTTGCCTAACATAGATCATCTGACAAATCAGTAAACAGTTGTCAGATATGTTGGTTGCTAAATAAGTAAAGGGAGCAAGTTTCTCAAGAAACTGTGATGCTGCATCAGGGTGAGACTGAGTATAATCTGGTAATTAAGTATTATCAATTGAGTTGATAACGTAAATTGGCCACCATAAAGAGTTTCAAAGCTGATGTTTCCAGCTGCATATATCAGTTGACATATCAGTCGACAAAATTATCAGTCGACAGTTGCTAGATAAGTTAGTTGATAAATAAATAGAGGGGGTAAGTTTCCGAAAAAACTATGGTGCTTAATGTCAGTGGAAGGGTATAACAGGGTACTTTAGTATTATCAACTGAGTTGATAAGGTAAATTGGCCACTGTAAAGAGTTTCAAAGCTGATGTTAAGAGCAGCAGTTTGTTGATCTCTCAGTCCATACATATGTCAGCTAATAAAGTTTTTGGTTTACTGATATTTTATTGATACTTGACCAATATTTGAGCTATACTTCCACTTCTGTTAGAAATCGATTAAATAAACACTGAAAGAAGGAAAGTCTAAAAGTCTTGATCTTCAGCTGAAAGGATCTCATTATTGTTATTGAGAATCTTTAAAAAAATCAATTCATCCCTTATTTTTTGGGAAAAGAGAAAAGTTTTGGGGACAACAGCTGCAAAATTTGCCATGCAACAGCTTACTTGTCTTTCATTTACCAACAGTTTGATCAGCTACTTTAAATAAGCCTTAAAATCTGATTGGCTATTTTGTTTTATTATTGCATTTTCACTGGCTGGGAAAACTGCAATTTAAAGCAAAAAATAGCACCATTCGTGGATAAATCGCTAGAGACCCATTAGATTGCACAGCTCACCAGTGATTACAAAACATATTTAACAAATAATGGTAATTGAACTAAGTGGAGTGCAATTTTGGTCAGAAAACATATTTTGTGATTTCAAATGAGACTTGTGCTCCTTGCTCCATTATGAAATCAAAGGTATGATTTCAGACCAAATTGTGCTCCAACCAGTTCAATTACCCTACAAAAAGAGCATCCTGGCATTTGAGGGTTCTTGTGTGATACTTGTTTTCAGTAAAAATTGTGTAGTACAGAGCATTATATCATAAAAATGATTGTGCAGGCCTTCATGGGGACAGAGGTTACAAATTGCCATTCAAATGGTAACCTTCAAAAGAAAACCTGTTGAATGTTCCTAATCAATCAATCATATGAAAAAATGTCTGCTTACCCACTTTGATAAGCTACCACAAATATTTGACCTCTATGAACTTCTTGACAAAAGCAGTAACATTATTAGTGAGCTAATTAGATAATTGGCAGAGTCTTAGGACATTATTTTGTCATAATTTGATTGCTAGAAAACATAAAAAGCCATGGAATCGAATAATATATCCGTTTTAATCGCCAAAGAGACATGCAAGAGTCCTATTAGTTCGCCAAAACAGACGTGAGAGTTTTTCCTGTTCGTAAATATTGGTTTCCCACAGGAAAAAAAATCGCAAAAACGCCAAAATCGCCAAAGCAACGGATGAGAATTGCGTACATTTTCACACACATATCAACTATACATTCCTTTCAAGTTTACCAGAAAAACTTTATAAAACGTAAATCACCGAGCAATATTTATAAGCTTTTAATTGAAGCTTATAATTAAGCAACAACAGAGACATTTGAATGAGCAGTCAGAATAACAGGGTTGTTCGGAATAAATTATCTTTCAATTCATGTGTGTGATTTTCACATCAGTCTCAAGCCATAGAATGCGAAAATAAACATTTTTACTCACATGCCTGACAATCAGCGTTTGAACCTGCACCTGGTGCCCAACAGTACTGATTTGTTAAACTCCCGTGGCCAGCAGGAGGCGTACATTTTTGTTGGAAGCATCTATCATAGCAATCATTATTATTTGAGTTCAAAACCAAGGTGTATTCATCGACCTTCGTATTCCTCATAATCGACTTCCATCGTATAGTTTCGACGTAACATAAATTGATGTTTTTCTCGATGCGAACGCCACCTCGAAGAATCGTAGTCAACGAGGGAAGATTCACTTCCTCCAATCCGTCATTCTGATAAATGATGAGCGAATAATCCAGAAACACTTGGCGCCCTCGAATCACGGCAAGGTTTGGAAAAATCTCTCTTAAGCTTCGCCTACCGTACATCAGGGAAACAAGCAAGTGTCCAGTAATTTCAGTTAACTTCGGAAACTGGAGTTGTTTCATAACTGCATCGCTAGCCTTTCTTACCATTTGAACTTGTATGCTGCCTTCCAGAGTTGTACAATTTTCCAATTCTTCGCAGCCGTCGCATTTCTCGTTAGAAATTTTCAAAATCACCTTCCCGGTTAAAAAGTCCGACTTACAAACTAGAGATAAAAAATACACACCATCAGAAATGTTGACATGGCAATAAACGAATCTACCGACTGCTAGCTGTGAAAACTCGTGTTGGCTTCTCGCAGTTTCCGATCAATTTTGGCACCAGAATACTCACGTCTAAAAGATGCTTCCCCTCCACCGAAGAATCCACAACAGCTTAACGTCAGCAAAATAGTAAAAATCAGGGCTTTCCTCATGATTCCCACGACAAAGACTGAAAAATTTACGAATCAAAAATGACAATCGCTAGCACTTCTAAGGCACCGAAGCATATTCTGACATCAAAGTCACAAGCAATATTTACTGTTTTGCCTTAAACAGAACAAACGTGTGGTGTTTCAGACGGCGAAGGTTCCGAATGAATAGCAGCAGATCTGTTTGTAAAGCTTGAACTTTGAAGTTAGACAACGTAAATTGATTGCTCTCGACTTTTCGGATAGTCAATGCAAATTCAACATCAACCAGTAATCGAATATAATGCACAACTCACGTCACTGCGTGACCTCATATCCTCTCCAAAAGGACACTGTCACTCAATCAATCAATGATTGCATATAAACAAGTTATACATATTTTCTTATTTCTTTTACCAACCAATTTACTTCGAACATCTTAATTAAAAAGAGCAATATGACATTACATATTTACTGGATCTTTTACCAAAATATATGGACGTGATTTGCATAGTTCTTTTAAGCGATAATAGTGCCGTAAAACCAGACTAATATCTTCGACACACACACTCAAGAATTTAATATTTATTTATTAGCTGTTCGGCACTTGGGAGATATATTCCGACAAACAAAATACAAACAATGATTACGGTTACACATTTCATTAGATTTCATCTGTTTTATTACTCTAATCGCAGAAAATACGATCGGGAAAGGATTATGCCGACAGAAAAATCTGCCATTATTTTACAGTAAACATTTGCGGAAAACTTTCCTTTTATAAATGTACATATTTTGTAAATTTCTGGTATTGATGTCGTCCGTTTTCAAAGTGGTTCTTTAAAATTTGGAAGCTCTGCACATATTTTGCAGATATTTGAGTATGTGTCGTGCACACTTGAAGAGGAAATAAACAGGATTAACATTGCTCAAATTTGGACAATTTCATGTCTAATTTAAACTTAAATGACTTTGGTAACCACTTGAATCAAACGGAAATCATGGTTTTATGACAAAGGACCGACTTTAAATGAGAGGTTACAGAATATGTTTGGAGGATGTTATTTTCCAAATTTTAATGTCTCTTTTCACGGCTGAACTCAAAGTTGGATGAGTTAGCCTCTGCAGGGACTTTGGTGTGTGATGCGTCATGATCTTCATGCTGGAAAAAAATACTATATATACTATACTACTAAAAATACTCGGTGGGTACTTCTTGGTAATGGGGATGTGCCGCTGGATGAGGTCGCATTTTTCACGACTGGATTGACTATATCAATAGAGTTACTGGAATGGGGTCGCACATTTTCGGGATTTTAAGAGTAAGAAAATGGCCGTTTTTATGCTAGAGACGTTAAAGTTGTCTAAGACGTTAAAGTCGTCTCGAGACGACTTTAACGTCTTAGACAACTTTAACGTCTCTAGCATAAAACGGCCAGTAGCTTTAAATAAGGATGTGAAAATGGTAAGAACCAAATGTACCAGAATATTTTTATTGTTGTACCGCAGGTAAAAGTTTCAAATGCTCCAAAATGTTTTTAATATAGGTAAAAAATCAAGTGATCTGCATCAAGTTTAACAAATAGATCAATTCGTTTTAGGATGATCTACTTAACAGCCTTTATAAAATGATACATAACCGATAATCGGCCACGGAATAGTTTGAGAGGCCAGTGGTACATACTCAGTAAAATTTCAAACCAAGACCCACACTCGTTTTCAAACTTGGTCTCTTAAAGTTGAACTTGGTTAGCGCTAAGCATAAGTCAAAGCCAAAGACAAACTGGAAATTTTCCTTAAAAATTCAGCTCGAATGACACAATTTAATATTATTGTCTTTCCCTTTGGTTCCATCAGAGTTAAAACGAAAATGACTTTGGTATGTCATCTGAAATGTCATCCTCTTGCAGACTACCATCAATTTACGACCAGAATGATCGAATCTATACACGTGTTCCGATCGACGGATAGGGCATATATATTTTTCACGCCTGGAGTTGACTAGAAACTGGATTGCGTTTTCAATAGAGCTCATATATTGGTATCACATATTTTCGGTACTTTGAGGTAAAGAAAATTTCTGGTAAGTAGGGATTTAAAAATAATAATAAGAATCGCGGTTAAATTTTGTTACCTTATCACCAAACGTGACTAAGATGGGGTCTATAATTGGCCACAGATAGACTGTAATGCGGTAGGGGTTCTGATAGGTCAGCGGCCAATACCCACCCCCCGAGCTCAAAACCCATCACCTTAAGCGGTGCATATCTACGTACCTTATGTACCGCATAATACTGCCTCCCCCCTCGCCCCGACTTTGTTTTTGCAGTCGTTGTGGGTTCATTAGTCGAGGGTAAATATGATAACAGAATTATATATAAAATAGAAATAAAAATAATAAATCTGTATTGTTTCACTTATCAAGAGTACTCTACACTCAAATAACCGGAGCAGATTAGAATTGTAAAAATGAAGAGTTGCATATATAGATGGTAATGCACTATAAAAGATTATACAATTAGCTCAGTTATGCACGCATTCTGATTGGTTCTCACTTATGATCTATTGGAGGACAGACGTATAGATAACGTCATCATTAAAACTTTTTAAAATTCTTTATTATATAAAACAAATAGTTGCCGTAGGTCTGTTCAGTAACAGATCACAGATGACGTCAAAATGTGGTAAGAACAAAAAAGTGGCACACGAGGCGCAGCCGAGTGTCACTGACGATTTATTAAGAAGGGTGTTGACCATCATAAACCGACCTTTACAGGCTCACCATGCTTCACTTTGCATAATCGAAGAATGTTTACATTAAAGAGATCGGGAAACTTAACTTAACTTAACCCATAAACTCCCAGAAGTACTCCACATGTAACTTCCCTTCTCAAACTTATCAAGTAGAAGTTGCTATCGTGATCCAACAGAAAATTCTTGTAACTAATTTACAAGGAAATGTGTAGTAGCTAGAGGGGAGAATTAATAATCAGATCTTAGGAATTAAAGAGTGAGAGGAATACCCTCTAAATCAGAACGCGGGTTATACAGGTTACCATGTAATGGAAAGGTTGCCTCGGCTGCTATAGAATTGCAAGTTTTTTTTTTATCCCAGCGAGGTCATCAAGGTTATTTTTAATGAGAACGTCCAATTTTGGAACCGAAATTGAGAGTTTTATGATAAATTGAACCTTTGCTCAGTGAATTGCTGGTCTTCTTTTTTTTTTTCTTTAGCAAAGATTTTAAAAGTTTAATTGGTAAAAGGCCAAGCTCGACATCTTACTGAGATAAACAGGGCTCTTAATAACTTTTTTTTCCATAAACGGCACCCTTGTCTGTGTCGTAAGGCGAAATCCAAACACAAGGCCTGTTTGCGGGATAAATAAACGGCGGTGAGAGCTCTACATCTATTTAACCATGGCCCACCAAACGCGCACATTTACACAAGCACCATGCTAAAGGTAAATAAACACTTTTTAACTAACAGCTGCAGGACAGCTGTCACCTATTACTTTTCAGTAATTACAATCATATCTCTTACCAAGAGAAATTTACAAAGAGCAAAGAACTTCCTCCTCCGCAACTCAATGGGCGATCTCTGTCATCAATAAGGTGTCGCAATCAGTGGAGCGCTTGCATTCGTAATTGGTTAGTGAACAGTACAGATGAGCACAACATATGTTGCAACCAGGCTTCTTCATCGTTGTCTCAGTATCATCTCAAAATGAACAAAACGTCTTCGTCGTCTTCTGCTAGTGTCAGCCGACGAAACGATACAAATGATGCATATGATCGCACTCAGGGGGAAGGCATTGCACTGTGCAGCGCTTTAACGCTAACATCTATTCTAGTTGTCATGGGAAACTTACTCACCATAGTTATTTTTTCGAAGAACAAAAATATTCGCAAGAAATATTTGTTTCTAGTCGTCAATATGGCGTTTGCTGATCTGTTCCTAGGAGCTTTTAGTTTACCAGTATACATTTACGATGTCGGGTATGAGTTCCACCTATGGACCATGTTCGTTGGAAACTTATGGACCGACAAGCCTATCTTAATTCCCTACATGATCATTGACACAGCTTTCTCGCAGGCTTCTCTTATTTCTGCAGTGTTCATAACGTGTGAAAGATTTTACGCCATACGTTGGCCTTTTAAGCATCGAATATTATCGACACAAGCATATCGCATAGCTATTTTCCTAGTGTGGGTACTAGCTTTCCTTATTTCCGCAATCTGGACCGGTTCAAACCTACTATTTTCTTACAAGCACACTATGTTAATTTGGGGGCCATACACTTTGTTTTTCATTTTAATCACATGTGGCTGTAACATTGGTATTTGGAAAAAGTTTCAAACTGAAAGAGTCGCCGCTTCACATCAAGAAAGTCGAGACTTACAAAACAAGCGCTTAACAAAGACTTTGTTAATTGTATCTGGCCTTACTTTACTCGCTTGGCTTCCGCTAGTTTTGTTAAACTTACTCATGTATGTATGGTTTTTCCATGTACCAAAACGATTTTATCATGCGGTAAACCTTTTCAACTACTTCAACTCTTTTGTCAATCCAATTTTTTACGCATTAAGAATTGCTGAGTTTCGACGAGCACTGGCTTTATGTTGTACAGGAAGACATGTGCAAGCAGCTGTAAACACAGAGCTTTCTAAAAGAAGGAAAGAGAGGCACAGAACGACCGCTGAGTTTAGTTGTGAAGTGGCTTTCGAACAGGATGTTATGGATACTGAGTTTAGTCGTGAACTGGCTTTCGAACAAAGTGTTATGGAGTTTAGTCCTGAACTGGCTTTCGAACAGGATGTTCTGGATACTGAGTTTAGTAGTGAACTGGCTTTTGAACAGGATGTTATGGATACCAAACTGTAGAACACATCATTCAAACACTAGCTAGAAACTCGATTAAGACGAAAATAGGTAGAACACGAGCTGAATATTTTATTAATGTCAGGAAGTTGAAGTTAAAAACCTAACAATGCCTCTAAAATGATGAAAATGACATTGGTAGTGTTAATTATAATTATTCAAACAAATGAGACATTAAACATTAAATATTCACCACGATGAATACCCACAACCTTTTCAACAAAATGAGACATTGAATAAGGCACCATTCTTTCACGTTTCAATTTAAGTATCGAAGAGACGGCCTTGTCTATATTAATCACGCCTTCATATTTCTGCTTATGTCAAAGAATGTTATGTATGTGTATGTTGTAGAGTCTTAAAGTGAGATTATGAGTTTGAGAGTTGATAGCCCGCCGAAGAGGCCTAATTTTTATTATTATTCAAGCGAATAGAAGAAAGCACAACTGAGGTGAGCGTGAAGCGCGAGTCACACGTAAGGGGAGCAGGGGCACAAAAAAAGTTAGTAATTTTTGCGCTTTTTCTCCAGTCTGTCCTAACCCTTGCTTACACCTCATACTCAGAGAGGACTTTCCATTTCTCATTTAAGATATTGGACTATGGCAGAGAAGTAATATAAAACATTGTAATTTGCATGAAAAAGAATCCGTAGAGATAAAAAGTTGGAACAGATGTACCAAATGTGTTTGCACAAGGACTCCATATGGTATAGAGTACGATCACGAAAGAAACAATTCAACAAATAAACTATAAGATTAGTATACAATCACAGATGACGCGATCGAAATGTAGTAAGAACAGGAAAGTGACACACGAGGCAGAGCCGAGCGTGTCATTAATCATGTTCTTACCATATTTAGATATCTTCTGTAATCTATTTCTGTAGACACTCACGGTAATTTGTCGTATGACTAAAAAGTAAAATGTTGTTAAAGGTGACGTCATCCTTGCGTCTGTCTTCAATCAGCCAATCAATCAATCATCTCAATTAGGTCGGTAAAAGACGGTCAGGCAACACACCAACCACTTACAAAATATAGAAGTACAAAATGGCAAGCTACAAGAAGTACAATACAGAATGAAAAGTTAACTATACAAATTGACACGCTCTTATTAAGGTAATGAACTAAGGTCATTCCTAAATTCTGTAAGAGACGTAATATTAGGCATATCAGGGAGGAGCTGATTCCAGTCTTTAACAGTGCTTGGGAAAAAAAGAAGATTTGAACATTTTGATTTGAAGATTTTCTTAGATTGAGGTTCAAGAAGCTTCAACCTATGGCTACTCCTGATACGAGTCTCATCACTTAAATTTAAAAAGCGGCAATCTTAATGTCAACTAAACCATAAATAACTTTATTCATGAAGATCAAGCGAGATTTTTTTCTCCTTTCTACAAGAGTGCAAAGTACCTCTTTTCTAGCATGGACGTGACGATTGACGACCAGTCATCAGTAATCGTTTGTACAAAAACGGGTTGTTGCTCTTTGCACTTTCTCTAGTCTGACAATAGATATACCAAAGAATCAATCAAAAATGCATGTATTATTCAGCTTATAGCATCTATATTCATATGCAGTTAATAAAATTTGTAGTGGAAAAAGTAATTCCTACTTATCTTCACACTGAAATGTAAATCTCCTCACTTCAAGGACTCACGCTGACGCATGCGCAATCAAGTATGCGAAATAAAGCGAGGAAATCTCCTAACCAGGAAGGGGAATTGATCTAAAACGAGAGATGTCGAGTATAAACAGAAGAAATCAATTTTTTCAACCTTTGTGAAAGAAAAATGGTGAATACCGTCAGATGGTATTCGATATATGCCAAAATTTTGTCAGGTATTTGTGTTTGAGGTTGTAAGTAAACTTTTCATAAATTAAACGAAAATTGAGGGACAGACATTCCAAGCTTTTCAAACACGTCCTGGAGGCTAGGAAAGTAGACCGAAATAAAACTTTTGACAACTTACACTTTCAATAGTCGCCTTAAAAAGCTTAAATTTACGCAAGTTTCCAGAGGAAAAGTATCCTTAGATAGACTATTTGAACATGTGTCAATAAAAAATGGCATTACATGAAAAAAGTTTCTACTCTCTACCAGTAACCCTAAATAGCACGAATATATCAATAACTTTCTGGAGGATGAAATTGTTAGGAAGTTAGAGATTGATTGCAGCCTCTCTGCAAGGACTTCGGATATGCGATGCGTCATGATCTTCAAGCTGGAAAAAATTACTCGGTGGGTACTTCCTGGTAATGGGGATGTGCCGCTGGGTGAGGTCGCATTTTCACGACTGAATTGACTATGTCAATAGAGTTACTATATTTGGGGTCGCACATTTTCGGGATTTTAAGAGTAAGAAAATTGCTTTAAGTAGGGATGTGAAAATGGTAAGATTCAAATGCACCAGAATATTTGTATTGATGTACCGCAAATAAAAGTTTCAAACGCACCAAAATGTTTTTAATGTAAGTAAAAAATCAAATGATCTGCATCCTGTTTAAGAAATTAATCAATTCGTTTTAGGATGATCTACTTAACAGGCTTTATAAAGTAGATGCATAACCATTGATAACCATAATGTGACTCACGGTTGGGATCAGGAAAATTACATATGTTCACAAATGACTGTGATTGTGTCTATAATTAGTCACGGAATAGGTTGAGGGGCCAGTGGTACATACTCTGTAAAAATTGACCGAAGTATCCCCCCTCCTCTCTCTCTCTATTTTCTTTCCCTTTGGTTTCATCGGAGTTGAAACGAAAATTACTTTAGTATGTCCTCCTACATGTCATCCTCTTACAGACTACCATCAATTTACGATCAGAATGATCAAATCCATAAACGTTTTCCGATCGATGGATAGGGTATGCTTATTTTCACGACTGGGGTTGACTGTACATGCCATAGACTGGATTTCGTTTTCAATAGAGTTCATATATGAGGGTCTGAATGGGGTTTAGTGTTTAGTGTTATTTGCTCATATTTTTTAGTGTTTACTGTTAAATTGGCCATTTTTTTAATGGTTACTGTTCTTGAAAAAAAATATTGTTTAGTGTTTGAAAGGAGACCCCAAAGTCTTTTTAGCATTTCAAATTTTATCTGCCCTTTTAAATTCTGCAAGAAAATCAAGAAAATCAGTCGCGAACAGTGAGCTAAAGCTGAAATGCTCTTGTCCTTAGAACTGATAGTGCGCCTTACTAGACCCTCAGTACTGGATGTACTTAAGGGAATACGTTTGGTAATCCACACAATAGTTCCTGAAAAGTATCACTTCTGGAAATCCATCCAAAGTGGTGTTTGCAAAAGATCAATTGCGCTTGAAATTGGGCCCCAAGGCAAAGTACTGGTGTTAGACTACGATTTCGACTCTCGAGAGTCTCGCCTCGTAGAACTGCGTTTACACCGACCAGTCGATGTAAATGTTCGGAAGGAAGTATTCAAGGATGCGCGGGACCTATGCTTTACCAATGGCGTAGTCTTCGTTGCAGAGAGAGGCTCATCAGCAATCCGTTTCATTGAATTGAAAAGCGAAGTACTTATAAAACCCGAACACCTAAAATCGCGAGCTGATTTGCTTTCGCAGCTTAGTCGTATCGGCTTGTCACTTGAGGGTACAGGTACAGGTACAGTTCTACGGAAGCGGTTGACGACACATCTGAGATCTTTAGCTGCACAAGTCGAGAATAAAGAAATTGTCCAGATTAATCCACCTTTAAGTAAACTAACTTCCATCTGAGCGGCAAGTAAGGATATCCTCTTGTGTGCAGATGATGAGTAGAGGAGCATAATGCAGCTGGAATTAGAGTACAATGGAGTGGCTATCATCGGTAGTAGGCTCAGACAGATAAACTACCCCAATGACGTAACAAGTGTTGAATCTCTTAATGTTCTGCGGCAATCAGCATACTTGGCTGCAACTAGTGCAGCTGGAGGGTTATATGGTTGTAACCTCGATTCTGTCAATGTTTAGCGACTCTTGCGGAATTCTTCAGATTCTTGCAAGGAAATCAAGAGGCTGTATGGTTATGAGGGCAGCATCGTTTTCACCAAAAACAAAGATCACAAGGGTAAGACCTTTAATCCCTTAAGTGCAACAGTCGAGACCTTGTTGGGTACTGGCCATGAAGGAACCGCTGATGGAACTGAAGAAAGCTGCTCATTTACATAAGTTCATGCAATCTGTTCCTTGCAGAACACTATTTTTTTTTCTGATATAGCTGCTAGAACAATCAAACTAGTTTCGGGGCTTACTGACACAGTGTCCTTTCTTCGCAACGTCGGATGTCTTCATGATAGTTTTGGAATTGGTGCACGTTCGATCGACGCGGTCCAATTATCTCTTCAAGATGCTGTGTGCAATGTTTCATCTGTAAATGCTTATATTAAAAACACAGTCGCTGAAGTAAGGCAGTACTATAAAATGAAAGAAACGGCAGCAACAGATGGCCCTGAAGGAACTGTTTCCAGCAAAACACAGGAGTCATTGGTACTTCTCGAACGAGGTACGGAACAGCTACGAGATAACGTTAAGAATGTAAACGAGGACTATCTTGGTGACATTGACCTGTGTACGCTGTTAACAACTCAGGTGGAGAACCTTCATGCAGTCTCCCACTCATCGCGTAGAATGCCTATTGTTCTCGGGACATTTACTTGCAGTAGCGAAAAAATTATAGATCCGAAATTAGCGGCGAAAGATATTCTGGAGAGCTTTGATTGGTCAAAGATTACGCGCTTATTCCTCCTCAGGGAATAATGCTTAAGCTCATTAACTTGTCAAGGCGGAGCTACGAAACAATAGCTTAGAAAGTTATTGTTTATGCTATTGTTAGAAGAATATCACACATTACGTGCGCGTGTTACAACCTGGAATAGCGTTCGATTTTGAGACCGTTCGTTACATATTCATCTATTTCTTCATCTTACTCAATAAACACTTTGGTTCTATCACTACCCGTTTAGGATTTGATTTTCATTGGAAAAATTTACCTGCACAATTTTTCTAAAATAGAAAGGAGGTTATGAGGTCTGTAGGTCACTCTGACACTTGTTTCTTTGAAACGAAATAAAAGTCACACACGAGGCAGCCAGTAAAAGAGAGCAACTCACGTGCCCTCTGTCTACTCCTCGTGTTTCAGCTGCCGGCTGGTTGGTTCCCGTGCAGGTTCTCTTTGTTTGCGTCTCACAAGCTTTTAGTTCGCCTTTTTCCTTTGGGGAGAAAAAGACTGCTACACGGGGTAGCAAAAAAATTTGTCTTACTTCTGTTCACGCGCTTTATTTGCATTCTACTATCTTCGCTAACCAAAGGTAAAGTTTTCATTGTTTGGTGATGGGGGAGGCCTAGCGGCCTCCCTATAATGTCTACTGATTATTAGTCGACATGGCCCTTTGGAGTCAAAGCTTCCAAAACTTTTTTTACCCCAAAGGGCATTTTGTTCTGCTTTTCAGTATGCTCAAGTATTTGGAAGTCTTATTATCCAGTGCCCAAATCCGGTGTGGAGTTACGGGACGTAGATTTGATGAAACCTCCTCCAGCTGGTAACGTTGATCCCAACATTGAGGCAGCCATGAAGGAACTAGTTGACAGGTATCGAACTGTCAGGCAAAGGACGGTAAGACAAAGCGGAAGCCCTGCCGCTGGCTGTATATTCCAGTACGTCATCGTGTACTAGAGTAACATTCCAAGAGGATGTTCAAGACGATCCAGGGACAGGCAATAAAGAACGAGTCGACCAGGATACAAATATTCCACGAGCTACAAACGAAGTACCGAGAATCACCTTTGTTGACGAAAGCATGCTCAGAGTTGTCGCAGTTGGTGACGTGACAGACCTGCCTGAGCAAGAGGATGAATTCGACACCGACTCGGAGAGCGATGCGGACAACTACAGACATAACGTTCAGCAGATTTGGTCGCACCACCCGCGCTCATTTCCGCCTTGAACTCTAGAAAAAATTGGGACTATCAGGGCAATCAGGACTATTCAGGTATGGAATATGATTAATTGTTTTTGGCCAGGATGGAGTGACATGTCTGTCATTTTTGTTGACCATTATACATTGAGAGTAATGTAGCCGATCTTATTGGTAAAATAAATATTTTGTTATTGCATTCATTACTAGTCAAATTTAAACACTCATTTATGTTAACTTTCATTTTCCTTGTAATTTTCTCTTTTTGTTTACAGTGTGGATACCCTAACTGGGACCATCTCACAAAGCTAACCAATCATATTGAGGTATTCATACAAAAGATGACAATCCGTAAATTTGCTTAATGTTACTTTTTATTTCGATGTTCTATCCCATTGGCTGTTTGATTTGAATATCGTAATCTGATTTGTTACTGATATATTCTCTTTAAGTGGTCACGGTTGGTGTATCCTCGCTGTAAAAGCGCTTAAGAATAGAACTGTTATGAGTTATACAAGCCAAATCTGCGGTAGTCTTCAAATATCGTCGGTCATAAGTCTGTGGACATCTTTGGCAGTCTCAGTGGACATCTTCGGCAGTCTTTGGACATCTTCGGCAGTGTTCGGACATCTTCGGCAGCCTTCAGACATCTTCGAGAGCTTTCGGACATCTTCGGCAGCTTTTGGATATCTTCCTCACTCTTCGGAAGTCTTGAAATAATCCCGAATTGTTGGAAAATGGCCAAAAAAACTTCTTCGATACAATAAACATAGGCCCAACATAGATATTTCTCCTTTTAGGGCGTAGTTTGTTTGTTTATGGGAAAAAAAATAATGTTCCACCGAATTTTTTAATGTTAATGTTAAAATGGCTAAAAATTAACTGTTTAATGTTATATAGCTAAAAAAATAAGTGTTTAGTGTTATCGAAGTACCCCCATTCAGACCCTCTATATGAAAGTCATATATTTGAACTGCGGATAAAGACGTGAATGAAAGTGATCCTCGCAGTAAGGTGCACTACTTGGGCAGTAGTGAAAATAAGGCCTGAATTTTTTTTCAGGCCTTATTTTCACAACTGCCCAAGTAGTGCACCTTACTGCGAGGATCACTTTCATTCACATATATTTTAAAATTACTCAGTTCTGATTGGTTAAGATAAATGCAGTTTTCAAGTAATTCAGTGCAAAAGAGAGTTAATTCAGTGTAGAAGAGGGTTAATTCAGTGCAAAGAAAGTAATAAATCAGTCATTCTGATGGGTCAATAATCAAAGAAACTCACAGGTAGCCAATCAAATGCGAGGCTTAGATGTCGCAACAAACTTTGAAAATTTGCGAGCGAAGCAATGGCCGGCGTTTTAAGTAGGTTTCCTTTCGCCACCGCAGCTGAAAAACCGCTCAAACAACGAAAACACTGTAAAGAGCACTGCATTTTGGTTGTCGGTTTGGAAAAAGTGGTTTTTAGAGAAGGGAATTGCCAAGGAAATCGAAAATTACGAGCGGACCCAGCTTAACAATTTGCTTGAGCGATCCAACGCCGAGATTAAAAACAAACATGGTTAAACCTCGGAAACGATGATTCCATTTCATCGAAAGTGATCCAGACACAGACTGAACAATTCCTTGAACTGTTTAGCCGGACTTTGAACTTTTTTGCGCCTTAAAGATGTGAAGATATAACTGCATATTATTGTTTTGATCGTACGCGATTGTTTTGACCGAACGCACGGTTTGAATAAATTATTTTTGCACTTGATGCGCGCGCTTTGCTTATGCTTAATTATGATAAGCCATCTCGTATTTTTCCATGTATATTATCAACAGGTAATCACATGATTTTTCTAGTGAAATTTGGAATAAACAAGCACTTGTTAATTTTTTCACAGACCACAAATTTTTAGTCTTTAAAAAAATTTACTCGTGCTTGTTTATTCCAAATTGCACTCAAAATTATGTGATTACTTATACAAATTGAACCGTTGCTCAGTGAAGTACAGGTTTTGTTTTGTTTAGTTTATTTTAGCAAAGATTTAAAAAGTTTGCATGGTAAAGACCGAGTTCGATATCTAACTGACATCAGCACGGTTTTTAATAACTTTTTTCCATAAGCGGCACTATTGTCTGTGCCGTAAGGCGAAATCCAAACTCAAAGGCCTGCTTGCGGGATAAACAAACGACGGTGAGAGCTCTACATCTATTTAAAAATGGCTCACCCATCAGAACGCGTGCATTTATACAAGCACCGCACTAAGGGTAAATAAACACTTTTAAGTGACAACTGCAGGTGCTTGTCAAAACATGCACCTGTAGCTGTCACATATTACTTTTCAGTAATAACGGTCATAAAGATCATCATTTTTATTAAGAGAAATAAGAAGACAAAGAGATAAAAACTTCCTCCTTCGCAAGAAGCTATTTCAGTCGTGCTCTCCAAACTTCCCGCGTGCTTCATATCACGATGAACGCACGCTGACGTATGAACCAATTTTTAAGTCACAGTCAGTGGAGTGCTTGCATTCGTAATTGGTCAGTGAACAGTACAGAGTAACACAACATATTTTGCAACCAGGCGTCTTCATCGTTGTCTCAAAATGACCAATACGTCTTCGACGTCTTCTGCTAGTGTCAGCCGACGAAACGATACAAATGATGCATATGATGGTACTCAGGGGGAAGGCATTGCATTGTGCAGCGCTTTAACGCTAACATTTATTCTAGTTGTCGTGGGAAACTTACTCACCATAACTATTTTTGCGAAGAACAAAAATATTCGCAAGAAATATTTGTTACTAGTTGTCAACATGGCGTTTGCTGATCTGTTCCTAGGAGCTTTGAGTTTACCAGTATACATTTACGATGTCGGGTATGAGTTCCACCTATGGACCATGTTCGTTGGAAACTTATGGACCGACAAGCCTATCTTAATTCCCTACATGATCATTGACACAGCTTTCTCGCAGGCTTCTCTTATTTCTGCAGTGTTCATAACGTTTGAAAGATTTTACGCCATACGTTGGCCGTTTAAGCATCGAACATTATCGACACAAGCATACCGCATAGCTATTTTCCTAGTGTGGGTACTAGCTTTCCTTATTTCCGCAATCTGGACCGGTTCAAACCTACTATTTTCTTACAAGCACACTATGTTAATTTGGGGGCCATACACTTTGTTTCTAATTTTAATCACATGTGGCTGTAACATTGGTATTTGGAAAAAGTTTCAAACTGAAAGAGTCGCCGCTTCACATCAAGAAAGTCGAAACTTACAAAACAAGCGCTTAACAAAGACTTTGTTAATTGTATCTGGCCTTACTTTACTCGCTTGGCTTCCGCTAGTTTTGTTAAACTTACTCATGTATGTATGGTTTTTCCATTTACCAAGACGATTTTATCATGCGGTAAACCTTTTCAACTACTTGAACTCTTTTGTCAATCCAATTTTTTACGCATTAAGAATTGCTGAATTTCGACGAGCACTGGCTTTATGTTGTACAGGAAGACATGTGCAAGCAGTTGTAAACATAGAGCTTTCTAAAAGAAGGAAAGAGAGGCACGGAACGACCGCTGAGTTTAGTCGTGAAGTGGCTTTCGAACAGAATGTTATGGATACTGAGTTTAGTCGTGAAGTGGCTTTCGAACAGAATGTTATGGATACTGAGTTTAGTCGTGAAGTGACTTTCGAACAGAATGTTCTGGATACTGAGTTTAGTCGTGAACTGGCTTTCGAACAGGATGTTTTGGATACCAAAATGTAAAACACATCATTCAAACACATAATACTAAGTGAGGACTTTCCATTTCTCATTAAAGATATTGGACAATGGCAGAAAAGTAATATTAAACATTGTAATCGGAATAATAAAGAATCCGTAAAGATAAAGAGTTGGAACAGATGTACCAAATATGTTTGCACAAAAGACTTCATATGGTCTAGGGTAGGATCACGAAAGAAACAGTTCAACAAATAAACTATAAGATTAGTATACGATTACTGTAAGAGAAGTATACGATTACTATAAGATTAGTATACGATCATGTGGAAAGAACAAAAAAGTGACACACGAGGCACAGGCGAGGGTGTCATTAATCACGTTCTCACCACATTTTGACATCTTCTGTGATCTATTACTGTAGAGATCCACAGCAACGTGGAAATTATTTGTCGTATATGACTAATATATACTCCCTCTAGTCTGACAATAGATTATAACGAAGAACCAATCAAGATGCATGTATCATTCACTTTATCGAGTCGATATTCATATGCAGTTGTTAAAATTTGGAGTGGAAAAAGTAATTAAGTGGCGATCTCTGTAAGAGCGGTCCAGGGCATTTCGCATCGGAAAAAAGTTTTCCCTCAAACTTTGCCTAACAACTTTGGTAACAAGTAAATAAAACCCCATTAGTTTCTGGAAATACGTTAAAATAAAATTTTTTTGACCTCTTGCGACATTGAAAATTTCAAAAGTTGAATAGCCCGGTCCTCGTATCACACCGCATGCAGCAAAAAATATTTTGTATTCTTAAAGTGTGTGATACATAAGGTGTATGAAATGCATTTCAATTTTGATATTCGTTTATTCAGAGGCTCGTCATAATTTATTTAAAAACACTCGTTGGACAGCTTTCTGAAATTCGTTGAAAGTACTAATTTTGTCTCCACTACACAACAAATAACACAGTAGTGTTCACCAAATAAGTTTATTTAGGGAAGCCTGCCGAGAACCAACCCGAGGCATATATAGCCCGGGGCATGCATA